TGTGAGGTGTCATTCATGCACAAACGGAGACAGTGAGAGCTTAAATAGCTTACATTAGATCACTGACTTAGTAAGTGATAGAGCCAGAATTTTAACTTGGGCAGGATTCTGACACCAAAGTATCTCAAGCATTTAAACACCTATACCAGACTGACTACATGTGTACACTAAAAAATCATGCCAAACTTTAAGACTTAATTATATGTTTGTTAACAAAGTTTCATGACTCTAAAAATGGCTAATTACCTTTTGCCATGCTAGCTTCTAAAGATCAGGTTTTTTTTCCCATTAAGGCATATATGTTCAAAACTTGTGTTTTTTCTGTTTAAATTTTGATGCATGTCTTCACTTGTCAGAAAAAGTACATTATGCTTGTTACACCCCATCCCGCTTTCCTCCAAATATATTGAAGTTGTACTACAGATCTCCAGCTACAATAAGCAATTCTCCAAGGATGAAGAAAGAAAATGTACACACACATAAGAATTTCTTTTTCAAAGTTAAAATTGACATTTTATAAATAATTTGCATGTTGCAAACTTGAGACTAAGAAATCACAGCAATTCAGTGATATGCATTTGGCATGAGTCAGTTTTAGTTCTTAGTGCTTTTCATTGGAAATGACATAAAAAGTAAGATTTCTTTGAATTTTTTATGCTGTGGGCTTACAAGAGACATAGATGTTTTTCTCTTGTAGATGTCTGGCAGTGCATGGCAGCAGAAGTAACGAAATGGTCACAAACCCCAGCAGTACTTCCCAGGTCACATGCACCCTTAATTTTTAAAGAATCTGGAAATAGCCTAAGCAGTTGATAACAGGTCATTTCTAAGTGATAAAGGATATTTGATATGGGTGTTGCTTTTCTTTCCACACCTAGTTTTTTATAGTCATTCAGAGACTTTATATGGTGGTAGGCTTATATAAATTTAAATATGTAACTTAACTGGTTACTGAATTGTAACACTTTTTCCTTTTTCTGATGTTTGACATTGATTTTGAGGTTTAAAACTTTTTTTCAAGCTTCAAAACAATTATTCTAGTTCATTTTCTGTATAAACACTTCCCATAGTCATTGACTTCAATGTAAGTACAATAGTAAATGCCAAAGGCAGCAGCTACTGTTAAAAAAGAGAAGGGGGTATTATGAATTATATAACTACTGCCAGAAATGCTATGCATTTTTCTTTCAAACACCTTTTCCTTTGTATTAACTAATTTTAAGAGTTACTTAAAAATATAAGTTCCTTTGAATGTAAAAATTGGGAAATAAAGACTGGTGTTTTAGAAATTTAATTTAGTCTTTCAGTGACCTAGCAGTTGATATGAAAACACAAATTTAAAAATAAATAGCACATTGGATAAACTGTACTATACTCATGAAAAAAGCCAAAAATATGAATTAAGTGGGATTAAAAAATAATTAGTTTTGAGTCCTAAACCATATTCGTTATTAAATTGAAATGATAGGTTCTTGACCCTTGGGTGTGCTTGGAATAAATATGGAACACAGTATTGTTTTTAAAACTATTTTGCTTTTATAAGCTAAGACAGATGTACAAAAAAGATGTAGTTTTTATTTTGTATTGGCAGCTTCCAAATATTTAGTGTCTATTTCCAAGAGTTGCAATTAGTAAAGCAACCATGATACTGAAATCTGCACATCCCACAAGCTAATTATATTTGCAAGGTCAGAATGAATACATATTTTCAGAAAAATAAAGGGTTATATAAATATGTGTCTTCTACTTGGCTGTTATATCACAGTTTGTTGATCTGGAATATAATGTGTACAATTCACAAATTTGTCTGATAACAGAAAGTGGTGTGTGATTGTGTTTATTTTACTAACCAGTATATTCACAGCAATCACTTCCAAATATCTCTCCAGTAAAGATGTGTTAATTACAAAACAGACAAGGTCTTCTATTATATTAAAGCTACTAACAAGAAGACAGCAGGAATCACACATGTAAATAGCATCATCAACCCCTATTTTAGTCCTCTGTTTTGATCTGTGAGTTGCGCATAGACCAAAGGTGCTATTAAAGACTGAGTGTATGAAATAGGCAGCATTATATGAACAAAATTTATTCAACAAGAAAACAGACCTTTAACATGAATTTAACAAGCCTGAGAAATTATAAACTATCATATGCTGCAGATTCATGCAGTGATAATAAACAAAAAAGGAAAGTAAGAGGTTTCCCTAAGCTAGCCAAACTGCTAATGGTTTTGTTATAAGCTGTCTACTGTTGCAGTGACCTCTGAAAAGTCTCAAGGCACTTGTACCAGAAAAAATTAAATGATCAGGCTGGTGAATAGAGATTCGGTATGGTGTGTAGGACTACAGCATGGAAGGGAATTAAAAAAATATAGCATCATATTCCTGAAAATATTCTTCACGCTTTAGCTTACAAGGTTTTATTACTTATTAAGTAGGTAGTTTTCATGTTTGTTTTTTGTTTTTTGCTAAATTCCTATTTGGATTTATAAGTCATAAACTGAACTGGTTTGATATATATATACTTTAAAACAAACTCATTAGAAAATTCATATAGCTCCAAAAAGTGGATTATTTGCCTTGTTCCCCCCTCTAATACCTTAATTAATCATTGGGGATTCTTTGTTCAGTATATTGTATCCAAGCTTTTCATTCTTACCCATGGAGTGACCACTTTGCTGTCATTATATTGCATCATGCTGTAAATACATAAACATGGAGAAACGCCTTCAGCTTGTACACACCTCCAAGTGCTCACTGGGGCTTTTTCTTGAATTGTACAGTGGCATAATTAACACCTTCTTTACCCATTGCTCATTAGTGCACTGGACATTAATGAGTCTATTTTGATAGGTTGCTCTAAAGGAGAAACCCACTTATTCTCACAGCGCAAAAAGCAATTATAAAATTGTACAGAAATTAAAATGTAGACTTTATTGCCATATTTATGTTTTTATTGCATACTAAGTCTAATTTTGGTCTGCAGGTTGTTGAACATGTTAGTTTCCTTAGACAGTTGCTATAGTGATGGCAGCAAATTCCTTTAATCTTAGTGTAAAGTATTTATTTTCTATTGGCTATCATATTGCTACTCAGGAATTGTCCACCTAAGCATGTTGTTTCACATAGGCCATCATTTATTAGCTGAACAGTATATTAAATAGTTGAATTTTTCTCTTAATTTGTAATATAATTTAAAATTTTTATTCACATTTGTTTTTAACTGATCATGATATCTACTTAGTTGGTATTTTAATTTCCTTTTTTATGAAGTTTCACAGCTGCTTATAATATTCCAGAGAAATATATGTATTTACCACTAATAATAAGAGTGGCAATTCTTAATTCTGTATTTAAGTTGCACATCTATCAAAATGGTCACTTTTCTTAGGACTACATTTTAATTTTATCTCATTTTATGTGCTTCTTAATAGAAAATGTTAGACAACTGTCTTAAAGTATTATAATGTCTGATATTAGTACCTATTTTTATTATTGCTGTATGGAAAAACATGATTAGAAAATTTTTTAAGTATACAGATGGACATATATTTACATATAAATGTGAAAGTTAAATCTGGATTGTAGTTTTTGTATAAAAAGAAAATAGTTTCACAAACTATTAAATCATACATTTTGGGGGATACTTGGTTTTATTTTGAGGCAAGAGGAACCTTTGAGGAATTTCAAACTGTTAGAAATAAAAGCAAAATTCAAAGTTGATTTTGTGGGTTTGTTATTTTGGGGGTTTTTTTTTGTCTTAGAGTGGATAGAGGCCTGAGATTGACTCACTTTTCCTAGTGCTGTGGTTTAAGTTTGTACTCTGATACTGTTGACCTTTTGTGGCAGCCTTTTAGAAAGGGAGATTTTTGTTTTGTCTCTTTCTTTTAAATCTTGTTCTTTAGCAGACAACATGTACAAATGAGAACCCACTAAATAGCAATAGCTTTTAAAATGTTGATAAATCCTAGTTGTTTAACACTATGTAAGACAAGTTTAGAAATACTATATTATCCTGCTTTAAGATTGTTTTTATGTGATAAATAAATGTATTGAGTTTATTCTCTCGGTAATTGATTTCAATTCCCTGAAAGAGGCACAGCCCCAGTGCTTTACTTAAAACTTTACAACATTTAAAAGCTTTAATGAGTTCTTTCAAATCCATGGTAATGAACAGAGAAAAGCTATGAGACTATGTGATTCTTGTTAAATCTCTTAATATATAAGAGCTAACAGATGACATTGTATCATGTAAGAATTTGAAGTCTTTCTATACAGAAATATTGAATACACTTAGCACAAAGAGGATTCCTATTGTTATTTCTTTACTGTGAACTGCGTGCCATGCCATTCTATACCATGTTCCTGGCTTAAAGCGTAGATGACCTTGGTTTTCTTGTGTTGTGCTGCCTGTTCTTGACAGTGGCTTCACAGATGACACTTAAGGCCATCACACAAGATACAGAGTCTTTTATAGTCACAAGAAGTAAAAGGTATCTGACTAGAAGAGAATCCATGGAGCAAGTGCCTTGCTGGTTGTAATTTTGTTGTCATTTCAAGTACTGTGGTGGTATAATTGATGTGACAGGGCTGGGCTTTAGATGTGGTCCCTTAGCTTGTGCTCACTTTCAGTTTTAGTTTCTCTTTGTCATTCATTTTGATTAGGTAAACGTTAGGTGACAAACATATGCACACCACGGAAGGCTGTTCAGTGTAAGTTTAGTAATGAAGCACTTCAATAATAAAGATGCAAAGTTAATATTTTTCTTTACTGCCTTATGAAAATTGCAATAATTGGTGTCACCTTACATTACAAGATTGAGGGTGGTGTGCTGATGGCACAGTCAGCAGGAGGCTCTTTTTTATTAATATTATAATTAAATGATTTCCTGGAAATAGGCCAGAAACAGATGCAAGTTGATCATGCCTTGTCCACTGTTGCTTGGCATCATCACTTGCTTTTTAAAAGAGAATTGACCTGACACCTTGTTTTTACAGGTTGTTATTGATGCCTTCAGATTGATCAATGCTAATATGATGGTCCTAGGACATGAACCAAGACAAACAACCTCAAATCTGGGTCATTTAAACAAGCCATCTATCCAGGTAATGCCCCTTCTTGATAATGTGTTAAAAACTATGTTTTACATTTTAAAAGCTGTTAAAAATGGCCATTCTGAGATCTAACACTTAGCCTTTTAACTTGTATATGATTAACTTTTTTTGTGCTTTAAAAGATTATGGAAATATTGTTGAAAAGTTAGATTTGCTTATGTGAGTCAGTTTTTAGTATAGTCTTTAAACTTTCCTAATAGTTTGAGGATACCTTTTGGGGAACATAGTATAATCTTTATCTTGAAATAACCTTATGGCTTTGCATGGTTAACATTGGTAAGGATCAATAGGAGTTCCAGGTGGAGTGCATTAGGGGTCATTCATAATTGATGTAAATTTTAAGAGGTGCCCAGAAATAATTCCCAAACAGTATTTAAATTTTTTTCTTTTTCTGTTTAATCCTCACCTTTAAATCACGTCCTACAAAACATTTATATATTACCTTTGATTAGCATTTATATCTTGTTTGAAGTGATGTCAGCCGTTACAGTTTTCAACACTTAATATCCTCCTGAGTGATTAATGTTTTCTTTGTATCATTCACATGCCTCATTGTTTTTATACAAGTCTTTATAATCTGCAAAAATTATTTTAAATGTGTTTTTAAATGCACCACAACCTGTGCTTATACAGTTAATTGCTTCTCTGAAGATTAATTAAAAGGACAGAAATACCATGTTTGGTTAAATAGAACACGTAGGACAGAGTCTTCATAGTAGCTATTGCTGTTCCACCTCTGAAACCTTACGCTGCGATACCATTGTCTTTGGGGAGTTGTGGCTTTAGTAGTTATCCACGGTTAAGCCTTTGTTATACTTTGATAACTGTACTTTCAGTAGTTATTCATGGTTAAGCCTTTGTGATACTTTGATCCTTTGATAGCTGTACTTTTAGAAGTTTACTTCTGCAGCAGTCAAAAGTAATTTGAAATCTTCCATCAGAGTGAAATGTTTTGTTTCAAAAGATTTGAGGTGTGTCACTTTGAGGGGAAAATTTTTTCATAAGTCAGGGAAAACTGCAAAGTATAATGAGTATGAAATAAGCTACCACTGTTTTGATTGGGTACAGACAAGCCCATGCTTGCATGTTCCAAGAGAATATATTATTGGACCTGTTTAGCCTGTGATAATGACCTTTCTTATAAACCCCCATAGCATCATACTACTTCATTATTTTTTGCAAAAGGTTAAGTAGCATCTCACAATCCAAGATCATTGTGATTACTTCATGGTATGTTTCTGCCAGAAGTTTTCACTAATTGCAAGTCAATAGCCACCTGTTGCAGATTTCATCTTTTAAATTTAAACACTGCATTTTAACCTGAAAAATTGAGTATAATCAACATAAAAAATCTGCTTCTTTCTATTCTACCCTGTCCACTTTGTATTTTTTGGTCCTAATTTATAGTCTGTAACTTGAGATGGACTTTATAAAGCATCATTGGTTTTTCTTATTTTAGTTTGTTTTGCCTTCCAATTAAAATCTGTAAGTATATTTATTTCACAGTTTATATAGCGCCCATCAGAATGTCATATATCTGGGTGTTTTACAGTATTAAGACAGTTTCAGTACTAAAACACTCAAATGGAATCAAGCTAAAAAGTGGCAGAACAAAGCTACACCTTAAAACAATTAGTTTTCTAAGACAAGCTACAAAGAAAGCAACCCAGAAAAATGTGGTGATATGTTAACAGAATTTTTAACTCAGGGATCAGAAGCTCTTCAGAAAGGACATGCTTTTTATTTTGAATGAAAACTAGTTCGTGTTGAGATGGATCTTGCTTCTAAACCACCTGTCAAGTAGTGGGGATAGAAAACTGACAGCAGCCATCACTCATGCTGGTGGTCACTTTGCTTTTCTAATGCTGATTTTTTTTACTATTGTTTTTACTATTCTTATAGTAATGCTGAAAAAAATCTGATTCTATTGGACAGTAGTGTTTAATAATTTGGGAACGTTTGTTAAGTAAGAAAAAGATTATAAAGATAAACAAGTTGCAAATATATATTATAAACTGTGCCTATGTATTTATACCAAAATTTTAGTATTACTTATCTTTGGATGGAAGGATTTTTTTTTTCTTATTTTTCCTTCTCCAAATATTTCTTTAACTGTCTACAATGAAACATACTGCTTTTAGAAAATGTTATTTTTAAAGCACTTAACAATGTTGAATTATCTACCATAAGACAAAGCTAATAGACAAAGTTTATATGAACTTTAATGTTTTAAATAAAGGAAGCCATTAATAATCCTGGTAGAGAGGGGAAAGTATAATGCCTACACTATAGACTTTTTTGTTAATGTATGAGACTGCGTTATTTTGTGAATACGGAAATATAAATAATTTAGATGGGGATTGATTTTGAAGTTTATTTCACTAGGATGTTTATTTGTGTACTTGTTTTAAATTTGTCATACCAACAACATTGTAAGCTCTGCTCTGAATGTTAACTAGAGGAGCACAGAAATAACCTGACAGTTGATCAGCAGGAAGGGTCTCCAAACTCCCCTTTGTCTAGTTCCTCCTCTAAACCATTCTTCCTCTAGAATAGATAACACCTTAGATTGGTACTGAGTTCCAGCCTAGGCAGAACTTTCTTCTTGAAAGGGTGGCAGGCTTTGAGCAAAGAAATAAAGGGTCAGGATATCCAAGAACCAAGTGAGCTAAGCTCTGTAAATAAATCAAAATATATTGTCCTACAAGTGGTGCTGTAAAAATAGGTCAGACACCAGACGCTTACTTAGCCCACAGTATATATTATAGAATAGAACTGTGCTTTAGAGCGCTCTTCTGTGAGAAACTGTTGCAGATTTCAAATAGCCAAGTAATGAATGAGCTTCTGGAACATAATCCTGTTTTAATGAAGAATTGCTTAAATTTTCCTAATCTGCCATATCTTTGTTAATTGTAATTTAAAAAGTAAGTGTTGATGTTTTAAGAAACTTTCTGGCTACATAACTTTCTCCTTTCTCTGCCTAACATAGTATGGCATTTGCTGGTATATTGTGTTTAATTTACAGTTTGACCCTTTCAAAAGGTTAGTCTCTTTCTTGATAAAACTAATCATATATTTGGCATATGCAACCACAACTTGTAATTCAATTCAACTAGATTGGTTAATTTGAGAGAATTTATTATCTTCTGAGCTGAACAATAAGCTGTGCTTTTTGGGCTCATGCGGAAGGAGGACTGCACATGGCTAATTTACTTATGATTTGTGCTAAATTCACTGGGGGGTACACAGCAGATGAGGAAAAATTGGAAGACTGCTTGAGGATATCATTTGATTTAAACTTATGTTTGCTTTGTTGTTATACCTGCTAATCTTTCACACTGCCTTTGTTAGTTTTAATACTTTTATCTAAATAATGTAATTGAAAATCAAGTAGGTAGTGCCTTCAAATACCAAACTATATATTTCAGCAGTACAGTTAATCTCCAGAATATGGACCTGTCTGTGGGCACATTGGCTGACTTCTAGAACTATTGACCATAGATAGCTGTTACTAACTGTATTGCCAATATGTAGAATTATGTAGTTAGGATATTGCACAAAGGTACTTAGATGAGGGGGGCAGTTGGCTCTGAAATCTAAGCTCCACTCTCCAGCCAGTCTGTGTCTGGTTGGAGGACTGGGCACCTTTTTCTAATTCTTCTACCCAACCGATACTTTTCCTAATTTGCATAAAGATGAGTATTTAAGAAAGGCCCTCCTTCTACTTTTTTTTATCTCTACACTACAGCATTTCTATACACTGAAATTTAATTCACTGCTCCTGATGATTTTAAAATGGATAAGGATTTAATAAGTGCTCTTAAGTACTTTGATTTTGTATATCAACTATTTTATTATAGCAAATGTTAAGAATATAAGTGGCTTATTACAGTATGTATTAAAATATTTTAGTATTTATGGAGTGGTTTTTGCTAGCAAACTAAGCTATGCTTTGCTTTTATCCTGATAACTTAAAATTCAAAGACTTAATCCAAGAATTTCCTAAGACACATTATAGCATTGTATGGCAGAAAAAACATGGATTTTGGAATCAGAAACAGTTGGATTCAAATCCCAGCTTTACCTTTTACTAGCTATAAACTGGGACAAATTAAGATTATTGTCTTATTTTCCTATCTGGCAAAATACAAATGGAACATCCTACTTACTAGATTGTTGTGACGATTAGATGACCTATGTATAAAGCGGATACTAGGTGCTTATTAAATAGTTCCTTTCCACCCCTTCTACCTCAATACCGTAACACCTACACTCTAAAATCTTATAATTAGAGAGCATGGCGGTTGTTTTGGTTTGCTTTATCTTTCGTTTCCTGAGAGTTAACCCCAAAACCCTCTTTATTTTTATACTTGTTGAAAATATGTCTGAGGTATATAGCAAGCTGATAAGGGTCCCTCAGAATGCCATTCTGACCCTCTGAACTTTTTTGGCTGGAGTTAGATATTTGAGCAGTTGTGAATGGATTCCAGCACATGCAGGGTTATTGTTTCTTAATAAAGCCATACCATTAATTAAATTTTTATTTTGATTTGCCTGTTTGTCTTGGAGATCAAGTGCAGTTAGGGGGTGGGAGGGATATCTGGTTAGTGAGATTGAGCATGAGCTAAATAGACCCAGTAAGACAAACTACTTTGTTCATTGGGAGACATGTGGGGACACAATTATTTGAATCTGTTAGAACTGAATTAAGAAGGGAGATCCCACATTAATGTTGTGTGTGAAGAAATAAAAGCCTTCTTAGGCTTTAATTTTGAAATAACAAAGATTCCCCAAAGCTATCATAAAATTAGGCTTAATAAGTTATGAATAATTAATGTCTAATTTGGATTATGATGAGGTCAAACCCCATCTCTGATTGAGCAAGGCTACTGAAACTGTTGCATTTGTGCTGCTCTAGATCATGCTTTGAAGAATGTGTGACCCACACCTATAAACCTCATTCTAAACTTGTAGCTCAGAGAACTAATTTAATCTTTATTAGGATAAAATGCCTTTTTTAGAAGATAATGAAGGTATTGTCTACAGGATATGTTAACAGTTTCAGACAGTTGTATTTATTTTAATAAAGTGAAAAATATTAATTTGTTCTTTTTCAAATCATTTGTCTATATAGGCATTAATTCATGGACTAAACAGACATTATTACTCTATTACTATTAACTATCGGAAAAATGAACTAGAACAGAAGGTAAGTTTAAATTTTTATGTTATAGAGGGGAAGAAAATGTCTTTTTCATACCATTTAAACTATGACCTGGTATACTTGAATTTTAATTGTTGACCTATTTCATGGAAGTGTTCCAAATATTTTTTTATTCCTGATGAATTGCAGCATAAAAGAAAGAAATATTTTATTGGATATATTGGAAGATATTTTACCTTATTGGTATGTGCTAAAGTGGGAGAGAAAGTAGGAAATAAACATTTCAGTTTGGTTTTATGATAAATTATAAAAGCCCCTAGTTCTGTGATTTTTCTGGTTAATTTGTCTTCTCCAGTAAAATGACCTTTTATAACTAAAAACTGAATAGTTTTCCGCATTGGAAAGGAATAAATTAGATTGTAATTGTGTACTACTTTTTAAAAAGTACCATGTTTACCTAGGGTAAATTAAAGGTGAGTCAAAAGGGAAATGCAATTTGAGGTTTTCAGATACTTAGAGCTAGATTTTAATTTAATTTAATTTAATTTTTTATTCTTTAATTTTTTAAATTTAGAGAGAAGGAAGAAGGGACTGGGGTGAGGGGGGTGGGGCATTGATATAGGAGGGAAACATCACTCAGTTGCCTCCAGTACTCACCCGACTGGGGATCGAACCCACAACCTAGGTATGTGTCCTGACAGGGAGTAGTACTGGCAACCTTTTGGTATATAGCACGACACTCCAACCAACTGAGCCACACCAGCCAGGGCTGCTGTGTTAGATAGATGTAGCTGATAGCTTGAAGTACATTATCATCACTTTTTTTTTTTTACATTTAAAGAGGATATCATTTTTTAGAAAATAGAGAAATATAAAACATTTGCAATTTTAAAAGTTAAAGTGTTCTAAGATTGGTTACATTTAACATTTTCCTTCTTATGTATTTCTCTCAGATTTAACAGACCAAAATCAGAGCTCATATTAAACTTTCTCAATATTACACACACAAAGGATTCCATGAGAAAACAGTTGAACAGATCATATAATCACTGCTCCCAACATACACCCCAGTATGACAAGCCTTGGAGTCAGGCTGCATCCACAGGTTCATTAATTATTTTTAAATTTACATAGAATAGCTACCGGCTGTGAAAAGGGGCACTACTTAGACACAAACTGGAAAATACATTCAGATATATAAGTAGTTTATCAATCTGATATCTTACATCCAACTTTTATAAATATTCAACTAACTACATTTAAGATTTATTTATTTTCCCTACCACATACACTTAGCCACTGTCCTTGGCTTAAAAAAACATACATGCAAATATATAAATTAATTAATGTTACAGTTATGCTTTAAGTAGCTCAGTTCAGGTGCTTTCTCATTACCAAAAGCTTTGCCTTTACTCGTATCCTACCAACCTGTATACTTAACCCGAAGCCTTTCCTGAGGGCCACAATGGAATCCCCATGGCAGGGATATCCTGCTCCTCTGCTTTTGAAGTGGCAGGAAAACCCAGTTCTCAGCACTTAGCTACAGGCAGCTTTATAGCACATGTAGTTGCAGCTGCATTGAAATTTCCTAAGGATATATTTTCTAGAACATTATCAGTGCCAAAGATAGGAAGAAATCAAAGAAATTGGGGTTCCTTGTGCAGGAATTTTCCAGATCCCTCTCTTCCCCCCAAACTACTCTTCTTGCTCCCTTGGACCCTTGGAGGTACATGGAGGAGTTTGGAAATTTCTTTAAAAGTCTCAGATGATTTTGACATGTGGTTTCTTCTCCAACATAAAAAGAACTTTGTGCCATGTGTAGTTGTAAACCTCTAAATGGGTAGAGTAGTTTTTCTAACTATGTCTTCAATTCTTCATGGCTCAGGGATCTCACCTAAATATACTGGTTCAGAATCATTTTGTAGTCACCATTTTTTTTTTCTTTCACATTGGATAATGGTATTAATCATTTAAAAAACTCTTATTCAATGGTAGTCTGCAACTGAAGAACAACTTTAGAGTAAGACTTTAAGAAAAACTATCTTAAGATTGTAAACTTGAAAATTTATGAACTTCCAAGACTATATACTCAGAACTAGGAGTCCAGTTTGGAAAACAATGAACTACGGTGTTTAATTTCATGATCACTCATAGGGTCTGATCCCAGTTTGCTAATGTGATTGCAAACTGGATGAATTTGTCATTTCCTTCTCAGTGTCAATTAAGAACTTTTAGTTGTCAGAATTAAAAGTTTGATTTATTTTTTAAATTATAAATGGAATGTTTGAATTTGAAAGAGATTTAGAGATTATCTAATACAAGCCCTCAATTAATAGATTATATAAACTGAAACTCAGAAAGTTTGACACAGTCATTCAGGAAATGGGCATTTCACCTTCTTGGCATTTGAAAGCTGATCTATGCTGTTGAAGATCTAGTGTGCGACATAGTTTCATTCATTCAGTGTCTGTTATGATTAGATACTGTTCTAGAATCTAGATCCTGGTAATCTTGAAATAAACAGGACAAAGTCCTTTCTCTATTGATTTTTCTTAAGTGAGAAGGAAGTGCATTAACAAGAAAAAAATTATATGGTGAACACGATACAATTTACAAATTATCTTCTATACTAATAAAAGGGTAATATGCTAATTAGACCAGATATCTTCCAGATGACCATCCAGACATCCTTCTGGACAAAGCCACAGTGGTGAAGCAGAGGCAGTTAGGGGCGATCAGGCTGGCAGAGGAGAGCAGTTAGGGGGATCAGGCTGGCTGGGGAAAGTGGTTAGGGGCAATCAGGCAGATAGGCAGGTTCCCCGCCTGCGGCTTCGGGGCTCTGAGCTCCTGAAGCAACAGCTCCAAAAGATACAATGTTTTAATTATAGAAGCTAAAAGATGGCGGTTAATTTGCATACTCAGGCTCCAAGTGGTGGAGCGAAGCCAAACAGCCCTGAAGCCGCAGAGCAGAGAGGCCTCACTGCCTGGAGATCGGCAGAGCTGGGAGGCCTCAGGGCCCCGGGATCAGCGGAGCCTGATGAAAGCCCTGTGTGTTTATGCACCCTGGGGGTGCAGAGGTCCTGTCCTAGGCAGAGGCCAATGGCGAAACTTCCGACTTTGGGAAGCAGCCTGGGGGCTGGAAGGCGGCTCCTCTGACCTCAGTGCTGGAGTCCCCCGCCTCCACCGCTCCACCAGGAGAGGAGCACAGAAAGGCCGGAGCCTCTCTCAAGGTGACCCGAAATCCCCACCCACACCAGGCAGGCTGCTGGGACGTTCGTGGAGGACTCACTTCCAAGCCCAGCCGGTGGCCCTGCCGCAGCCATGGCACTCCTGGGTATAGGCCCCAGCGGGACGTGGGGTGGTGGCGGGGGCGCCTTGAGTCCTGGGCTCCTTGCCTGCCTTCCAAGGCTTCCTCCTGCTTTAGGGCCTCGCCCTCCGCCAGCCTCCTCTTCCCCAGCGCCCAGAGCAGCGGACCCACCGAGGGCCCTCCCCGCTGGCCGAGGGGGTGAATGGAGCGGCGGGGACTCCCGGGTAAAGGGTCGCCCTGGGGAGAAGTCCCGACACCTCCAAGACCCACTCCTGTTCAGCAACATCCCCAAGATCACGAGTCTGCACCGCGGGCTGTGGGGCAGCGTGATGGCGCCGATGGTGGAGAAGGCGCTGTGCACGCGGGGGCTGCTGCAGCCCGGAACCTCCTCAAAGGCTTCAGGATGTTCGGCTCCCTCTTCAAGCCCTACATCCGGTTCTGCATGGAGGAGGAGGGCTGCATGGAGTGCATGTGCAGCCTGCTGCCCGACAACAACCTCTTCCCGGCCTAGGTGACGTGGGCCAAGAAGCACCAGCAGTGCCAGTGGCTGAAGCTGAGCGACATGCTCGCCAAGCCCCACCAGTGGCTCACCAAGTACCCGCTGCTGCTCAGGTCGGTGCTGAGGAAGATGGACGAGCCACGTCCAAGGAGGCCGTCATCACCATGATCAGCTCCGTGGAGCATTTCATCCACCACGTGAACGCGTGCATGCGGCAGCGACAGGAGCGGCAGCAGCTGGCCGCCGTGGTGAGCTGCATGGACGCCTACGAGGTGGTGGAGGGTAGCAACGACGAGGTGGACAAGCTCCTGAAGGAATTTCTGCACCTGGACCTGACCGCGCCCATCCCTGGTGCCTCCCTGGAGGAGATGTGTCAGCTGCTGTTGGAGGGGCAGCCTGAGGATGAAGGAGGGAAAGGACAGCAAGATGGATGTGTACTGCTTCCTCTTCATGGACCTACTCTTAGTGACCAAGGCAGTGAAGAAGGCTGAGGGGACCAGGGTCATCAGGTCACCACTGCTGGTGGACAAGATTGTGTGCCGGGAGCTGTGGGACCCTGGCTCCTTCCTCCTCATCTGCCTGAACAAGTTCCACAGCGCCATGGGGGCCTACATGTTCCAGTCCAGCAGGCAGGCTCTGTGCCAGGGCTGGGTGGACTCCATTTACAATGCCCAGAACCAGTTGCAGCAGCTGCATACGTAGGAGCACGCGGGCAGCCAGCGAGCAGCACCTACAGAGCCTGGAGGAGGAGGAGGAGCAGGAGGATGAGGATGAGGAGGAAGAGGAGGAGGAAGAGGAGGGTGGGGAGAGTAGTACTTCCCTCGCCAGCTTCCCCACCATCCTGCGCAAAAGCAGCAATAGCCTGGACACCCAGCACTGCGCCTCGGACAGCTCCACGGAGACCCTGGCCGTGGTGGTGCTGGAGCCCGGGGAGATGCTCTCCTCTACCGAGTTCGAGGGTGGCCCCTTCAGCTCCCAATTGGATGAGATGTCCCTCAGTACCACCGCCTCATCTGTCACACTGACCAGCGAGCTGCTGGCCCTGGGCCCCGGCGAGGGCAGCTCCTGCTCCATGGACTCCGCCTACGGCACCCTCTCCTCCACCTCCTTGCAAGACTTTGGGACCCCTGCCCCTGTGGTGGAGCCAGCGCCCCGGCCCCTAGATTTACCACAGGCCCCTTCACCCCCGCCCTTGCCCCGCCTCCGCCGCCGCCCCCCTGTCCAGCTGCTGCCCCACCTGCTCAAGTCTAAATCTGAGGCCAGCCTCCTGCAGCTGCTGGCAGGGGGCGCCCCCAGCCCCCAGCCACAGCCTGTCGGAACTCTGCTTGGCTGCCACAGCCACCGGCTCATCAGGACCACCCTTCTGCTTAACTCAGTGAGAGCACAGTGTGGAGCCGCCATGCCTGGAGGGCACGGTGGGGGGGCGGTGCACGTGTGCCTGGTGCAGCGGGACTTACTGGGGAGCCGCCTGCCTTCCCGTCGGGCCTCAGGCCCGGCGCCCAACATGGAAGGGCCACAGTGCGGCCACCAGGCCCTGAAGGCTGCCCTGAAAGTCACACAAAGACAACCTTCTACTGGAGGGCAGGCATGTGGTGCTCCGGGAAGATTCCGGAGGTAGGGAAGGAAGGTCATGGAAGGGAACAATTGCAAGAGGAGATCCCGAAGGTTCTGAAAGCAGAGGACCAGCTCCTTGCAGACCTGAACTCCGTGTGGGCCTCTTTATCGGCCCTGGCCGTGCGAGACACAGGAGGAGGTGATGGACCGGGGCTGTGCCCAAGGAAGACTCAGAGGAAGCAACGTGTGGACAGGGCCAGGCGGAGCAGGCAGGCCCGTGTGGATCCCACTGGAGCGCAGCCAGACCCCAAGGCAACCACCAAGCCAGGCCCCAGGGAGAAGCGAGCAGATGCCACTCCACTCTCTGGAGAAGACCATTAAGCAGAAAACTAAAGAAACCAATTTTACATCGTTTCCCAGGTGGAGAACAGTTGGCATGTAAGCCCCTGACCAGTGCCCAGCCTCTCCTCTGTCTGTCTATCTCACTCTTAGGTACCATGTTCTTTGTTCTCTCTTAACTGCAACTCATTTTTAAACTAGATTGCTTTTAAAAGAAGACTAAATCAAGTTTCCCTTAAGTTATTTAGGCGGTGCTGGGGCTGCTGGGGCTCTGGGCGCCTGATAGAAGACACAAACACGCAGCGGGGCCTGTACCCAGCAGCCCCAAGGCCCACCACCTTGGTGCTGAGGCTGCTGGGGCCCTCATCAAAGACCCGCAGCCCCAAGCCCCGCCATCGAGGTGCTGGGGCTGCTGGGGGTATCAGAGACACAAACCCACAGGTCCGGCACCCAGCAGACCCAAGGCCTTCGCGGCAGCGCTAAGGAGCAGCAAGCCAAGCGGTAGGAAGCAGCAAGCAGGTGGGCAGTAAGGAGGGAGGGGTCCCGGACTGTGAGAGGGCACATACTGGGCTAAGGGACCCCCCACCCATCCCCAGTGCATGGATTTCGTGCACCAGGCCTCTAGTATATATATAAAAGGCTAATATGCTAAGTGTCCAACTGGTCACTATGATGCACATTGACCACCAGAGGGCAGATGCTCAATGCAGGAGCTGCCGTGACATGCACTAGCTGTTTACAGAGAAACGGCACCAGGGACCTGGGACAAAGCAACACTCGGCTTCCCCCAGTGGGTCACAGGCCCCGCCACCACCCCAGAGCGACAGCCCATCAAATCACGTCCAACGCTGCCGATACCCCATGGTGCAAAATATGGCCCAAGCCCAGCCCAGCCCGGAAATGGTGGCTGTGGGCACTGGATAATGATGTCATGTAGCAATGCCCAGCTTCCTCTCCCTAGCAACGACTAGCCTCCTTGCAGTTTCTTCAGCCCAGGAACATGACTTGCTTTATAACCAGGTACAAACATTTCACACTTTAACTAAATGTCTGTGAAGCATTTTCCCGTGCCTCATCTCATTCGATCCTCACAGAAGTCCCGGAGTAGGTAGATAGAAGACTTGGTGGAGTCCTATTTTCATTAGCCAGAAAATGGAGATTTAGAAAGCTTAAAAACTTGACCCAACTGCAAAGAAGTAAGAAAAGGTGGACCTTGAAAATGACTTCACATTTTCTCACTGTGCAGAATATAGTCAAACACTGCTACAGTTAAATATTTTACCCTTTGTTTTCCCTGTGTGATCTACAATAATAATCTGCTTCATGTTGATATTTACTGCTGTGTTGCTGACAATTACCTGAAAGAGAAGTTGGGGTGCTTCACTGGGCTGGAGAAAGTTTAGCTAAATCAGAAAGCAGTTATAATTAAATAAGTTTGTTCTATATCTACTAGTATAAAAGGCTAAGTTGACTCGTGCATGTGTGATACATATAAAGCTCTCTCTCGCTGGCGCCAATCGCACGAGTGTGTTTCAGTCTGTCATTGTCAATCGTGTATTTGGTTGACACTTCTATTTATAGAGAAAGGGTGAATAGTGATATTAAAATATTCTAATTTCCTTACAATGTGCACGAATTCATGCACGAGGCCATTAGTGTATTATAAAATTGTACTTGAAACCTATATAATTGACCAATGTAACCCCAATAAATTCAACTAAAATAAATATAGAAAAAAATGAAAGAAAAAATTTCAGATGTTGATGGTGTTATAAAAGTAATAAAGCAGGTTAAAGCAAGAAAGTTGTTTAAGATAGGATGAGTGGGCTTTTTTATATTGAGTTGTTAGTGAAGGCACCTATCTCTAAGAAATTGAGGAATATGAGGAAAATAGTCTTTGAGGCAGAAAAACAGCAAATACAAAGGCCATGGGGCTGGCGTATTCCTTGGGTTATATAAATTTAGTAGAATTCTTATTAGAGTTTATTTAAGTTAATAAAATTAAATTCATTAATTCCAAACATTTTTGTGAAATTGTTCTCAAGATAAATGAAGGACATAGTCTCCATAGAAGAATATTATTACTTTTTCTTTATGTTTTTTAGATGTTACTAAATTTGCATAAGAAGAGTTGGATGGAAGGTTTGACACTTCAAGACTACAGTGAACACTGTAAACACAATGAATCAGTGGTGAAAGAGATGTTGGAATTAGCCAAGAATTACAATAAGGTAAAAGTTACTGCCAACATTATTTCTTATAGTCTTTGGAATATGTATGTTTAGATGCCAAGCATTATATAAATATAATTAGTTAAAATAGAGTGGCTTCATTTGTAGATCAGATAGTAAATATTTTAAGCTTTGCAGCCATCGGATCTGTCACAACTACTACTTTGCTCTTGTAGCTTAAGAGTTCGTAAAGGAAGAAGTGAGGCTGTGTTCTAGTAAAACTTTACATACCAAACCAGGCAGCTGGCTAGATTTGGCCCATGGGCTATAGTTTGCCATTGCATCTGTAGACTTGTTAAAATAATTTTACATTTGAAGTCTCTTAATTTTCAGAGGACTTTTTGCTGGAAGGAAAGGGCAACAATGAGATGTTATATTTTAATACTTGCCATATAAAATTTATTTTATGAACTTTTTTATATTGTGTGTTAATATATGTGGCCATGATAATGTTTTTGTTTTATGTTCTAATTTTGAAATTAAGAAAGTACTTGAGCTATGACTAAAATGTATCTTCTGCATTGTATTAGTTTCCTAGTGCTGTCCTAATAAACTACTATCTACTGGTGTCTTAAAACAAATTTATTCCCTCACAGTTCTGGAGGCTAGAAGTCCAAAATCAAGGTCTTGGCTGGGCCATCCTCCCTCTGAATTCTCTAGGGAAGAATCCTGCTTTCTTTTTCAGCTTCTGTCAGTCCCAGTCTTTGGCTTGGGGCAGCATAACTTTAACCTCTATCTAGGGTTAGGATTTCAGCATATCTTTTGGGGGATGTGATTCAATCTAGAACATGTATTTTCAGCTTTTTTACCAAAGCCACATAAAGAATAGGTTTTACATTTTGATCTAGTACAATGCAAGTGTGTGTGTGTGTGTGTGTGTGTGTGTGTGTGTGTGTGTGTGAGAATTGCATTTATGTAATTGCAAAAAAGTTTTATGAAACAATATTTACCCTTATTATGTGATACATTCTATTTTCTTTTTCATTTGACTCAATTTCATTCTATTTCAGTTACACACAAATACATATAGCTTACAACCCATTAATGGGTTGAAAATCTAGAATTTGTAAAATATATACACACCCACATATTTACAATGTTATGTTTATAAATATTTATTGCATATCTCCTATATAAGCTGCAATGGAAAACAATTTCCTCATTTATAGGAAAACAGGGGCAGCAAGAAAAGCTGATAGTCAGAATACCAGGTCAAAATTGGTGCATTCCGTAACGCCTTAGCATTCAAGTTGTCCACGGACCAGTTGCATCAGTGTCACCTGGGCTCTTCTTAGAAAGGCAGACTCTCAGAGCTACTGAATCACAGTCCACATTTTAACAAGACTTCTAGGAGATTTGTAGACTCTCAAGCTGGAAGTTAGAGGGCGCTGCCATAGAGAAGTCCATGTAAAGCACTGCAGAAGTTCAGAGGCCCGTGCTTTTAGCTATGGGCAACCCAGGAGGCTGTCTTAGATGATAACCACATTTGAACTAGATGTTAAAGCATAAATAAGATTTAGACATACAGAGAAATGTTACCCTAGGCAAAATGAACATCACAGGTGAAGATTAGGAGAGACAGAAAAGGCAAGGACATATTTTAACCTGTTTGGCTAGAGTACATAATGCATGAGGGTGATAATGCAGACTAAAGTGTTTTTAAAGTTATTGAAGTCCAGTAGCAGGGTATCAGGATACAGTATATATATATATATATGTATATGTATATATGTATATGTATATATGTATGTATATATGTATATATATACTGTATATATACATATTTTAAATTTGATTTCAGAGAGGAAGGGTGAGGGGGGGAGAGATAAAAACAATGATGAGAGAGAATCATTGATTGGCTGCCTCCTGCATGCCCCACATTGGGGATCCAGCCCACAAACCTGGGCATGTGCCCTGACTGGGAATCAAACCATGACCTCTTGGTTCATAGGTCAGCACCCAACCACTGAGCCACTCCAGCTGGGCAGAATAAAGTTATTTTTTATCATGGGCATGATATAACCAGAACCTGGCTCTAGAAACATAAGAACCAGACTTTAGAAGCATAATTTGAAAATGGATTAGAAAAAGGAGTGCTATAAATGGATATTCTATTTAGGAGGAGCTTGCTGTTACCCAGACAAAAGGGAGTGAGTATCTGAATTATTGCAGTGGCAGTGGGAATGAAGGCATCAGTCGACAAATAAAACATGGCACCCATTGGGTAGATGAAATGAAAGGAGGAGGAGGAATTGAAGTTGAATTCAAGGTTTCCCGCCTAGATGACTAGAAGTGTGATGGTACTATTAACAGTTCCAATTTGGATAGAAGTGGAAGGATTGTGAAAGGAGATAAAGAGTTGCATTTTAAATAAGCAGAAATGTAGGACTACAAATTAATGGTAGGGGCTAGCGCTTATGATTTGGAGACAGTTAAATTTGATATTGGTTATCACACCAAAAAGTAAATTAATAAACACATCTTATCAAAATAAATATTAACCGGGTGACGGTATATAAAATTTGCCAAGTGTAGCAATGTCTTTTGAGAGATTTGAGCTTTGAAAAAAGTTGCTGAGCCCATACAAATTAAATTTCAGCAGACTTAGGTTTGGCTTTGAAGAGCATGCCCTGATTTATATGTAGTGTTCAAGCTGGAAATCCCCTATGGTTCTAGATTACAAGGAAAATATTTTTATCTTTCTAGTATATATTTTTATGCTGTGAAGAGTAAAGAGAAAGAATCATTTATCATATTTGAAACAGTTAACCTATTATAAATTAAAAAGTTATGACAAGTTATTATTCAGCAGACTGTAGGAATGGTTTTCATTTCTCTGTAACATTACAAGTTTAAGTAAATTCATATTGGTACCACTGCCAGGAAATAACCTATTTATGGTTACTGCTGCCCATCCGCAGAAGTTTTTTTTGCTATTTTACAGTTTTAAAAAATCTCTGTAGTACTCAAAAACTTGTAAGGTTTAGTTTTAAAATGAAAACAATGTGTAAGCTGTGATATGAAGCAATCCAAATTTGGAAATGTAATTCCCTCTGTGATTGAAAGAGAATGTGGTGGAGTTTTTAGTAACACTTAAAATATAAAAAGAAAAGCCCATGCTACCCATTTTTCTTAGTATTCTTTTTAATTGGTTGGCATTTTAAATTAAGGTAATTATTGTTAGGTGCCAGTTAACTCCTGAAGTAAACAGAGGTTAGAACATAATTAAATTCCTTTGACCCAACTTTTCAGTTTTAAGTCTGAATTCCACACTCAGATTCTGCTTGATTATTAGTCATTGATTTCTCTAATTATTGAACTTTTTTTTTTTCAGTTGTCTTTTTTTTTTTAATTCTTTATTAGTTAAGGTATGACAAATGTGTCCTTATTCTAATTATTGAACTTTTTTTTTTTTTAATATATTTTATTGATTGTTTACAGAGAGGAAGGGAGAGAGACAGAGAGTCAGAAACATCGATGAGAGAGAAACATCGACCAGCCGCCTCCTGCACATCCCCCACCGGGGATGTGCCCGCAACCCAGGTACATGCCCTTGACCGGAATCGAACCCGGGACCCCCCAGTCCGCAGGCCGACGCTCTATCCACTAAGCCAGACCGGTTTCGGCTAATTGTTGAACTTTAACACCCACCACTCTTAGTCCAAATTTCCTAATTCATGCCAGGTACATCAATTTTTTAAGATGTTGATATTTTATTGAATACTTATTAATGAATGATAAAAGAGCATTTTAAAGATAGCATAGGCACATAAAAATTTACCAACTTTTCAAACATGTAGCCCTGTAAATTCTGAGTTCTGACAGTTTGCTTTTCAGGTAGAAATTTGCCTACTTAAAACCTTAAATAAACTTCAGATATATCTTTATGTGTTACATATAAAATATGTAATTATAATTATATTTTGTTTACTACAGTAGCTGTGTTAAATATGAAAATGTGCTAGTGTAGTAAGATTAGAAAAACAAAATAGATATGCCGAAACCGGTTTGGCTCAGTGGATAGAGCGTCGGCCTGCGGACTGAAAGGTCCCAGGTTCGATTCCGGTCAAGGGCATGTACCTGGGTTGCGGGCACATCCCCAGTAGGAGATGTGCAGGAGGCAGCTGATCGATGTTTCTCTCTCATCGATGTTTCTAACTCTCTCTATCTCTCTCCCTTCCTCTCTGTAAAAAATCAATAAAATATATTTAAAAAAAAAAAAAAAAAAAAAAAAAAAAAAAAAAAAAAAAAGAAAAACAAAATAGATATAAGTATTGGGAAAATCAGGTCAGATTATCATGATTTAAGTATGATAGAGTATGTTTGCAAGCAAACATAGAAATCTAACAGACTAAATTAAAGTACTGTTAGAATTCACTGGCTGGGTAGCTCACTTGGTTAGAGCATCGTACCAAGGTGGGATCAGTCTCCAGTCAGGGCACATACAAGAATCAACCAATGGATGCATAAATAAGTGAAACACCAAATTGATGTTTTCTCTCTCTCTCTCTCTCTCTTTTCCGTCCTTTCTCAAATCAATCAGTTTTTTTAAAAAAATATATATATAATTATTGCCCTAGCTGGCTTGTCTCAGTGGATAGAGCGTCGGCCTGTGGACTGAAGGGTCGCGGGTTCAATTCCGGACAAGGGCATATGCCTGGATTGTGGGCTCAATCCCCAGCTCGGGGTGTGCAGGAGGCAGCTAATCAATGATTCTCTCTCATCATTGATGTTTCTATCTCTCTCTCCCTCTCCCTTCCTCTCTGAAATCAATGTATTTAAAAAAAATTTTTTAAGTAAAAACATATATCCTATATAATAAAAGCCTAATATGCAAATTGTCCCCTTGACCGTGAGTTCAACCAGGGGTTGGGGTCAGCTGGAGGCCCCAGCTGGTGGTGGTGGCAGGCAGCTGGGGGAAGGGAGACCCCAGCTGGGAGCCGGCAGCCACTAGGGACCCTATCCGTGCACGAATTTCATGCACTGGGCCTCTAGTAATTATTATAATCTAGAATTCTGTAGCTGCTAACCGTGCAAATGCTGGTATTCAAAAATTGCATATTATCTAAAGAATTCTTATAAAATAGTTATTAAAAACAATAAATTGGACAAAAGAGCTAGGAAACTGAAGACAATGGCATATGAGCATGAAAAAAAAGTTCAACCTTATTAAGTAATCAAAATTAAAATTGTATATAGAAAATTTCCTTCCAAATTAAAAAAAATTTGGGGGGGGAAATGCACCATTAGTGGGGAAAGTAATGTGATATAACATTTTTGGAGGTCACCTTCCAATTTTACCTTTCAATTTTAAATAGATATAACTAGAGGCCTGGTGCACGAATTCGTGCACGGGTGAGGTCCAGCTGGCCGGAGGGGGCGGAGGGGGCACAGGAGGTTGGCTGGCTGGCTCCACCCCCTGGTTGAACTCTGGTAGAGGGGACAATTTGCATATTACCCTTTTATTCTATAGGATATATTCCTTCAAACCAGCATGTTCTCTATTGGTTCTCTTTTAAGGGTTAATTATGAAGAATAAAAACTACAAATACCAACTAAAAGAAATACTTGCAAACTGCTGTTATACGTGAAAAATTAACCTGTATAACAATAATAAAAATCCCTACTATGTTACCTTCCCTCCCTTTTTCAAAGACACCTATCTCACATAGATCTCAACAGATTATGGTAAGTGTCACCTCTTAGGTGCAAGGAAGGGGAATGATACACTTTATGTAAATCCTGAATTATTTTCAGTTTTTGCACTAAGCAAGTGATATTTATACCTAAGATTGTGTTCCCTCAAAGTAACAATAGCTTAAACAAAATAGAAATGTATGTCTCTTGCAATTCAAGACCAGTATGAAAGTTTGAAGTCATCACAGACCCAGAACCCTTCTGTCTTTTGCTCCACTTCCCTTATGTTGGCTTCCATCCTTTAAATCACTTCATGATTTCATGGTGATTGCTGCAGCTTTAGTAATCCCATCTGAGTTCTTGGCAACAGGGGGGGAAAAAGGAAGGGCAAAGAGGGATACCTCCCAGCTAAATCACTTCTCTTTCAGAATCCCTTTTGCAAGTCTCACCCAGCACTTCTGATTATATCTCAGTGGCAGAAAATTGAACACCCCTTGTTTTGAGGAAAGCTTTATAATATAGTCTTCACCTGGGAGCATTTCTGCCTTTATAAAATCAGGGTTGCATTACAAAAGAAGAAAGGGAAGATGTATATTGAGTAGGCAACTAGTAAGCTCTGCCATAGTAATTTTTTTCAACAAGCTGGACTATAATCTCTCTCTCTCTCTCTCTCTCTCTCTCTCTCTCTCTCTCTCTCTCTCTCTCTCTCTCACACACACACACACACACACACACACACCCACACCTTCATTTTATATCCCTATTTCATGTGATTACATTTTAAAATTGTGACTTTAGAAAGCATGTACTTTAAATGGGATTATGACATGTTAGAGAGTAAACAAACTTAACATGTCAAAGGGGAAAAAAGAAGCCCAGGGAATAGTTATGTGAATTGGAATAACAGGCATGGTGTCATAAAAGCAGAGGTTTAAAAGAGTAGAAGAGAAAACACGTGTTGAAATAGCTCTAAGGTGTTCAGAAAATTCAAGAAAACTGAGTCCATGGAACTCACTTGGTGGAGATTCTTAAAGGCTGTTAATGAGGTACCAAAGATATAATCCATATTGTTAAAGGATAAATAAATGGTAGAATTTGAGGTACAGGTTTTCCACTTGAGAAATGTGACCATAACCAGAAAAAAAGAGGACAAGGTTAATGAGTTTTGTAAAAGCCTCTTTGAGATCAGGGGTACGTCTGAGGGGTTTGTGATAACATAACAGACCAAATTCCAGGAATTTCTTAGAACTGTGCAGACCGTGCATGATGGGATAGCCATCTGGGGGTCTTTGTTGATAAACTGTTAAAAACGTTTCTAGTGTGAATAGCCACAAACATTTTCAGTGCTTTTTTGTTGGTTGAGTAAACCGAAGAGCACAAATGCAAAAGCAAAATTTGATGCCAAATCACAGAAGTTGCCATAAACACAGAAGTTCCCCTAGTGAGGACACTGCCTGTGCCTGAATTTCATTTGTTTCTGCTGCTACCATTTCTTAATTTTTCCTGGTGACTTGCCAGATTAGAATTATGAATGAAGACGAACTGGCCTTGCCCAAATGGTAGATGAAATGTAGGTAACTTAGGTAGATGGAGAAAATATTTTCGGGGGTTGATGTGGTGATCTGGTCTGTCTTAGAGTGTAAGAGATGTGCTTAATCTTTTGTCATGGAGGTTTGCAACCTTAGTATATGCCTAAATCTACAGCTGCTCCTCATTTTCCAGATGGCATCTATGGCTGGGAGTACTTTTTACCATCTGCACTTCTCAAAGAGTTTGTGAACTCTCTATTTTAATTATTGGAAATGGAAAAAACTAATTGGTAAAGTTGTTACATGTTGTAGAAGATTTTTAAAATTGAGTTTTTGCATTCTACTTAAGTTTTCATATTGGGTCAATGCTTTAAATGACGTTTGACTTTCATCTTTACATATCTGCCATGTTCAGTATTTGCAATACCCCAAAATACTCCATAATAACTATTTTGTACAGGGATTGGTATTTTGAGCCAAGTTCCAAAACTCTTGCCTCCTTCCAATACTGTAAAGTACTGTTGTTGGCAGAGCATAGAGCAGCTAACATTGAATGGTTATAGAGTACAAACTTATGTAAATTGTTCCATTCATCTAATACGTTTTCAAGTCATCGGTAAGGTATGGTGTCATAATTGTAAAAGTAATTGAGGACAAACTTTATGTGTTGCAGTGTATTCATATATGAAAAACATTAAGATAGAGAGAAGCAATTTCCTAGTTAGGAAATAATTTTTTAAATAGCCGAGAATAATATGAATGGCATCTGACTCTGAAAATGAACATATTCTCTATCTAGGGAATTCTGGATTTGGAGTGTTAACTTTATTTTTCCTTTTTGCAGTTTTATCAGTCATAAGTGTATTTCCTAATGATGTGTTGTAAATAAGTATACTGTAATAAGCAGTGAATACAATACTTATTTGCCATCTTTTCTTTTAGGCAGGTTCTACCAGGGAAATTCTCTAGATAGTTTGTCCATTTATAAAATTAGACACTTGCCATCTTTGCTCATTTTCAAGTTCTCTGTTTACAAAACTATTAAGAAGGTGTGAAATGCAGCCAAACTTCCCAGTTTATGGGAAATGTCTGATGATTGCATTTCCTACATGTTCATTGTTCACACATGAAGAAATTTGGCAGCTGCAAGATTATTAAGTTAGAGTATCCAAATCTAAACCTCACTGGGATTTTTTGGTTTCCTGCTTTCTGCCACCACCATCTCATCTGCTTTTGTAACCATATTTGTAGTACGTGCTATAGTGTTCTTTCTAAAGGTGGGTGATCCTTAAATTTGCTTTGTTTTCCATTTATCAAGTACTATGAATAAATCATAGACCAGGAGTTTATCTGATGTACTTCTTATCCTCCAGTTTAGCCATCCCTCAAAAAATTCCAGAACAGTTTCCAAATAGTTAACTGGTAGTCCAGTTTGGTATTTTCAGTGCCCTTTACATATTTCCTAAAATCTGTTGTCAAAATGATGGTGATAATAGTTTTCATTACCCTGAAGCATATTCTTAAGATTAGTAAAATTGCATTTTTGTTCAGTAAATTTCTTTAATAAAAGATTCTAGAGCCGAGACCGGTTTGGCTCAGTGGATAGAGCGTCGGCCTGCGGACTGAAAGGTCCCAGGTTCGATTCCGGTCAAGGGCATGTGCCTGGGTTGCGGGCATATCCCCAGTGGGAGATGTGCAGGAGGCAGCTGATCGATGTTTCTCTCTCATCGATGTTTCTGACTCTCTATCTCTCTCCCTTCCTCTCTGTGAAAAATCAATAAAATATATTAAAAAAAAAAAAAGATTCTAGAATGAAAATTATGATAACCATTATCTTTGGTGATTATTCTGCAATGGGAAAACTAAGGATTTGAAACTCTGTCCTTTGTGTTTCATTCACAGGCTGTAGAAGAAGAAGATAAGATGACACCTGAACAGCTGGCAATAAAGAATGTTGGCAAGCAGGTGAGGTCTACTGTAATAGGTTATACAGTCGCATAATAACACACTTTTGTAAAGTTAAAACTATTTTAGGGCCTATTTCCCGCCCCTGCTTCCCCCCCCCCCCTTCTGTTCAATCTATATTTCTCTTCTGTCATTTAAATGTGACACTAATTTTAAAATCATTGAATTATTCAATGTCATATTCTCTCTGCCACCTAAAGATAAGTAAATCACAAATATACCTGTGAGATCTTTAGTGAAAATACCTTACTAGAAATAAATTAGGAAACTTGTGCCCTGAGTTAATTTTTAAGTATTATTTTTACTTGAAATAATCATAACATTGAAGATAATAGAATGGTAAATTAATTTCATATGTAACAGTTTTTTAATGATATAGTTTAACAATATGTAGGTACTGTTCCTGAGAAAGCTCAGAGCCCTATTGGATTATACTGCATGATGAGAAAGGGTTTTAATTTTAAGTATTTGCTCTTTCACTTTTCTAAGATGAAATATATATTTTAGTTCCTCCTTCCTAAGGATTGGGGAGAGCACACTAACCAATTAAAAGAATCTACAGATTAATTAGACTGTTTTTTAAAGAATGTTGATTACATTTTTTCATTTCATGGAACATGGTTATCATATTGCTGATGTTGGCAGAATCTTGATATTTCAGATGCAAGACACTAAGCTGTCTTTGCTTGCAGCCATCCTACCATATGCTCTGATCCCATCACATCTCACAAGCTATGTAGGTTTGGGCCAGGACCATTCTTGGATGGGAAATCTCTAAGAATCACCCAGCTGCCACAAGAAGTAATGTAGATAACTGCGGGAAGTGTGTTACCAATTCACTACAAAACCAGTTACTCCAATAGAGCAGTAGGGGCAAAGGTCTGACTTAAAAATATCACAGTGATGAAATTAAATCCCACTACATTCTGAATATTATAATTTAAAAACAACAAGAACCTTCAAAAACAAAAATGAAACATTGTTCATCTTATTCTTTCATCCTATGGGATATGGTCATCCCTATTGTCTTTTCCCCACTACTTATTTTCATCTAATACATATTAAATCACCAACTTGAAGTGTGCACTGTATAAAATTCAGTAACTGGTTTTTTTTTTTAAATTACTCTGAAGCTGTAGTTTCTTGATGTGTAGGTTTTATATAATAGCAATAAATAAAAGGACTAAATTAAATGTATAATTGGCAAAGTGTAATAATCATCAGAATCATTTTTTAAAACAGAGTACTTCACTGGTTTGGCCTATTGCACAGCAAAAGCAAAACTGTCTGTATTGGAATTAGACCAATAATCATCTTCTCCTGCCAGTCTTTTTTTAGTCTCTTTCACCTAAAACACTCTAGGTCTTATTTCTGAAGTAAAGAAAATTTAAAATTGTAGCCTAGTTACTTGACATTACTTGTAGCATGTTGTATCTCTGGATTGTTTTAAAAAATCAAATACATTGAAATTGTAGTTTAGAAGAGAACAGCCAAGAAATAATTCCAGTAGTGAACATTTGTTTAAAGTTAGGAGTCTTGGGTATTTTAGCAATACTCATAAGAAAATAATGCTTTAATTGGAATATTTTTATTGTGTGCAATATTCTTTATTTCAAAGCTTTCATATTTAGCTGAAATACTTCATTCAGCTCAGCATTAAACATAAATAATTTATCTTCCTTTACTAAAATGCACTTTTTAGGCTGTTTTTAAAAATATATATTTTTATTGATTTTTAGAGAGGAAGGGAGAGAGAGAGGAACGTTGATATGAGAGTGAAACATTGATTGGCTGCCTCCTGCATGGCCCCCATCAGGGATTGATCCCACAACCCGGGCATGTGTCCTGACAGGGAATTGATCTGACAGTCCTTTGGTGCATGGGATGATGGAGCCCTACTGGGCAGGGCTACTACAATGCAATTTTAAGTGTTTTTTTTTAAACTCAGACATTTCAAATAGTGATTAATCACAAAAGCAATATGTAATTATATATGTGTTTTCCAATGGTCTTAGGCGACCCCTGTGAAAGGGTCGTTCTACCCCGAAAGGGGTTGCGATCCACAGGTTGAGAACCGCTGGGAAATAGTATATTAGGAATATTAAATTGTAAAATATATATCAGTTTAGTTTGGCTTTCTTGACTGAATTTCATTAGGTACTGAAAAAAATCTAAGTAATTTGTCTGCCAGTAATATGATTCTTTTTTCTTTCTCTTTCCTTATTTTTTTTCTTTCAGGACCCCAAACGTCATTTGGAGGAACATGTGGATGTACTTATGACTTCAAATATTGTCCAGTGTTTAGCAGCTATGTTGGATACTGTCGTATTTAAATAAAGCAGTGCAGAAAGCTTTTAGTGATACTTTCAGTGTACATTACTCTATTGTTCCTAATACTCCAAATCAAGGGACCTCTGAAGGTGTATTTGGTTAAATGTAAGACATCTGGCATCATTTGCAGCACTGTAACACCTTCAGTCTCAGTTGTGCAATTACTTCTGTTTCTTTAGTCAGGGTCTTTGCAGATTCCAAAGTTATATAAGAATACATCAAAGTGGACAAATTTTGTTAAGATCTCATTTAATATTTGAAGAAATCAGTAACACAAATATATTTTGATTGTTGCTTACAAAATAAAGTACATTTACAATCTATGTCTCTTGAGTTCTTTTTGGCACTGGGTGGAATTGACAGGATAACATTTGACAGTACTTTAGAAATTTCATACTAAGATATGCTTCCCTGTGCATTTTAAGATTTTATAACACATAAAACATCAATGTGATAACAAAACATCTGAGTGGCTACCTCATTAGTGGGTAATGCAGAAAAATGCTGACATCTTTCATTTAAAGGATTTGTCACAAGTTAATTTTGTATAAACAATATATCTTGTTAACATACAATCAGGATCTCAGAAGAGTGCAATTGAAGAAGGGGCAATTTTGATGTAAACTATCATTTAAAAAAAAAAAAAAAGAGTACAATCCACCAATCATGTTGAGATTGTGTGGGAATTGCCTGCTGCAAATTCCACTGGACATAGAAAGTATACTGTATAATGTCTTCAGAAATGAGAAAAGTAGCCCGGCCAGTGCTGCCCAGTGGTTAAGCATCACCCTATGAACCAGTAGGTCACATTTCGATTCCCCATCAGGGCACATGCCTGGGTTGTGGGTTTGATTCCCAGTGTAGGGCATGCAGGAGGCAGCTGATCAGTGATCCTCTCTCATCATTGATGTTTCTATCTCTCCCTTTCCCTTCCTCTCTGAAATCAATAAAAATATTTAAAAAAGAGAAAACTAGCCATAATGTGAATTTAATATAATGAGCACATAAGCAATAATTTTGTTACTGTTTTCTCTCCTCTTTCTGTAACTTAGAAGTACTCAGTTTTCTGTTAAAGACAAAAATTTGACTATTGGCAGTTTTTGTAAATGACCCTATCCCACAACCTGCTTCTAACCTGATGTTCGTAAGTTCAGCCCCAAATACTCATGGTACAGCACCATACTGGGTATCCCAAAGGGTGTTGACAAAACATATGGAGACAAAGATTTAAGTCTTATTTGTACCTTCATGAAAATATGGCAAAAATGTTTAAAGGAGGTTTTATTTGGGCACTTAGGAGTTAGACTTAGCCTCTATTAGGGGTGGCATGAACGAAGGGGTAGGTAGAATTCTTGTCCTGTTTGAACAATTCCAGGTTCTTACTGCTTGCCTAATGAAAAGTTAGCGGAAACTAAAAGTGGAAATGTCTTAAATTTCCATTATATTTTGCAGTCTCTTTTTGGTGGAATAAGAGATATTCTGAACATTTCTTGCTTTTCCTGTAGTTTCTTCTTTTAAATATGATGGTAGTATATTTTATGTAGGACATGTAATATGTATTAATTTGTTGGCATACGACTAATCATTTGTAATTAAAATATAAATGGAAGTTTTCCTTTTGCCTAATGTAAACTTGTGTGTGGCCTATTTTTTTGGATACGTGATTTTTTCCTTTACATAAATAAGGTTCTATGACTTATTTCACAATACTGTTCATTAGAGCTAGTCAGATTTTTTTTTTTTTTTTGTACAGTATGCCCTCAGAAGAAGGCCTCAGTAATGCAATGGCTATTCTCAACATTCTGTTTGGAAATGTTTTGGGTTTCTTTTTTGGTTCCACTTAAGCCCCCTGAAAATACCTCCTGAGTGAGTGTGGTGACTGAGAAAGCTTACACGAGTCTCGTCTTTTTCCCTCTTATGTGATCACCTCATCTTCCTGGCCTCTCCACAGCCACATACCATTTTCTCTCACTTGGTTCATGTTGGAGACATTCCCAATTTCAAAACAACATCAGAATCCCTTCCCTATCCCAAACCTACATTTTCTTTGTAGATTAGGATGCCCGAAAAAGAAGCTCATTGAATACACCTTTGTCTCTGAATGTATTGCTATTTTAGCAGCATTCTGATGGCACAGGCCCTTAGGCACTGAAGTGACTTATTGAATCACAAGTTCAACAAGCCACTTTTCAGGTGTGCGTGTGCTTGTGTGACCTTTACACGTGTACTAAACATTAAAGTAGCACTAGAACAAAAAGTCTTGCTTTACTCTTAGACTAGTATGAGGGGCATTGAAAGTTCCAGCCTCACTGTTCAGTGTGATCTGCCTGGAACAGGAACACCTGGGCCCTCTGGAAGCTTATTATATATACAGAATCCAGACCTGAATCTTGGCATGGTTCATATGCAATTTAAAGCTTGCACTGCTATGCATAAATATGGCTCAAAAGCAGGTGTGCTGATCCTGGGGCAAGCCTTAGTTCTCCTTCTTGAGTGTATGTAAATTCAAGGCATAGCCTGTATGTGAGGAATCACTGGGTTTCGTACTGATAGAGTGTACATCATCTCCTAATTCTGAGGGACGTGCACTTCAACCTTTCCAATACTTTAACCTTTCTTTCAGCATTCTTCATTTAAGAAATAACACAAAACAATTCAGGGTGCTAGGAATGACAGCCTCAAGGAACCCAGGTGGAAGAATCTCACCTTTTTGCTACACACGGAAGGCTCTGTGTCCTGCTGAGGAAGGAGGGGGTAACGAAGCAATGCAGGGGGCAGACACTCAGGGACAAAGAGTTTCATGGTCAAAGAAAAGGGAATACAAGAGTAGCTAAAATAGAGCCAACGCCTCTCAGAAACGGTGCTGGAAGGTAATGAGCAGAAAAAAACAAGTGTCAAATAGTCTCATAGCCACTGACTCCAATCCCGCAGCCCAACGCCTGCATAGCCAAGGCCCTGCTCGTTTATTAAGCTTGCAGGCAAGGAGCTGAGATATGCTTCTGAATGGAAAATTGGGTCTGGCTGTATTTTCTCCCAGAAAACTGTCTCGGCTTGAGTCTAGGACATCTGGTCCATCAACTTGTCCTGCCCAGGGCCTTGCTCGCGGCGCCCTGCTGGAGCCGCAGCTGGTGCCCTCTGCGGCGAAGGCGGCCAGCCCGCCGCGGCGCGCAGTCTGAGTTCAGCACAGCCCGATCTGAAAATGCGCCCGCCTAGGTTAGCCCCTCTCGCCCCTGCCCAGGACCCACCTATGTCCCCAGCACGGCCGTCCCTCCGGGAGCTGCTGGGGAAGAGAGACGGGCTCTTTCAAAGGCGCAGGCCACACCGGGCGGAGGTACCCAGCCTTAGGCGCGGGAAAGAGTGTGTGCCCCGGGCTCTGCGCCTTATGCCACCCGCTCGCGCTCCCTCAGTTTACCCGGAGGCTCCCTCTCAGGATCGCCAGGGTCCTGGGAGCCTCCTCTCGGGCCGCTCGGGGACCCCACACTATGAGCCCCAGTCCCAGCAGCGCCCCGCGCGGAGCCGCCGCCTGCCGGCCAGCTCGCGGGGCGGAGTGAGCTCGGGTGCGAGGCTGCTCCATACTCCCGCGCGGCTCCGCGTCCCGGGGGAAGCGGCAGGAGGGCCGGTCCGCGGGTGCCGTGCCAGGGGGAGCCGATTTGGGCGCATAAAGCGTCTGCTGCTCTTGGCCCTCCGGTCCGGCGCGGTCCGGGCAGGGGCTGGCTCCTCTGCAGACCGAGTACTAGATTTCTTCTGCACCTGCGGTTGCGTTGGGCCTCGTGCTAGATATTTATGCCAACATCCTTTAAATTGCTTCTTTTCTCAATTTCTCCTCCGATTCTTCGCATTTTAAAATTATTGGCATGGGTTCTTTTCCTCTCCAGATTATATAAACACTGCGCGCACGCGCGTGCACATACACCACACACACACACACACACACACACACACACACACACACGAGTCTTCAGCAGCGATCGCTGTGTTGACACCACTTCCACTCTGTCTCCACAGATCAGTGCTTCTAACGAACCCATTTGCAGGAGGACGCGGCCCTTTCCTTTTCTGGTGAGGCTTTTGAACCTGTCGCCGAGGCAGTACCTTGGAGAGAATGTAGTGCAGTGAGACGCGAGGGATGCGGGGCGCCTGCCCCCAGTTAGATGCTCTTCAGATAACATGCAACCAAGCTCGCTGATAAAATATTTAGTGAAGACCTCTTAAACGTCACTGCGAGTACAGTAAGGCACTTCAATCCGACAGCTTATGATTATTTCAAAACTTAAAAAGATCATAGGTTCTCACTGTTCTATGCTCACCCAAGAAACCGAACCTTCCGGAGGGAGGTCGGTGGATGGGTGAGTGAGTTGCTGCTTTTCGCCCCCACTTCTCCCTCTTCCCGCCCACTTTCATCGCTGTGACTCTCGGCAGCAGTGATTTATTTACTGAGGAATTTAAAAGGTGTATGTTGGGGTGGGGGTCGCCGAGGACACACAGGACTGGCTCAGGTGTTGTGTGCTTCGGTATTAACTGGAAAAGACAGATTCTGGAACTTTTACAGGGCGAGAAGAGGCCACCAGCTCGCGCTTTGTATACTTTGCACTTGAAATCGTTACATTCAACTGAATATTTGGCTCATTCAGATCCGAAGTCTCCTAGCATCGTCAAATTCCCTCCTCCGCCCCTCAGCTCGAAAGGAGGAATGGGGTGGGGGGTAGGAAAATGGTTAGTAAATCGCACGTCTTTGAATCTTCCTAAAGCAGTGGTCACAAAGCTTAAAGGTGACACAACAGTGCTCACGTAAAACCAACACACATTCCCCACCCCCCACCCCAAGTCAACAATAAAATCATCCCCTTCAATTTGCCATGATCATCGCGACCAGGAGCCAGGTGATTATCCTAATTAATGTCTATCTAATTAAATTACTGTCAGCAGTTAACCAATGGCAGGAGCCGTTTCATCGGCTGCACAAGCAGCAAGATCAAAAGTGAGCGAGCCTTTTCTGATTGCTGCATAGTGTCAATTGGCCAATCTCTTCTCCCAGGAGAAAAAAAAAAAAGTAAATCAAACCTTTGGGAAGCATTCGCTGGATGAAGTGCTTTCTGCCTACTGAGGGGGTCTGTGGATTTCTAGTTTATGATAAATAGGACTTTAAAAATCAGGGACAGGAGGGCGAGTGTTCAGGTTCTAGAGCTATGCAGCTGGAGCACTGCCTTTCTCCTTCTATCATGCTCTCCAAGAAATTTCTCAATGTGAGCAGCAGCTACCCACATTCAGGCGGATCTGAGCTTGTCTTGCACGATCATCCCATTATCTCGACGACTGACAACCTGGAGAGAAGTTCACCTTTGAAAAAAATTACCAGGGGGATGACGAATCAGTCAGATACAGACAATTTTCCTGACTCCAAGGACTCACCAGGGGACGTCCAGAGAAGTAAACTCTCTCCTGTCTTGGAGGGGGTCTCTGAGCTTCGTCACAGTTTCGATGGCTCTGCTGCAGATCGCTACCTCCTCTCTCAGTCTAGCCAGCCACAGTCTGCGGCCACTGCTCCCAGTGCCATGTTCCCGTACCCCGGCCAGCACGGACCCGCGCACCCCGCCTTCTCCATTGGCAGCCCCAGCCGCTACATGGCCCACCACCCAGTCATCACCAACGGAGCCTACAACAGCCTCCTGTCCAACTCCTCACCGCAGGGCTACCCCGCGGCCGGCTACCCCTACCCACAGCAGTACGGCCACTCCTACCAAGGAGCCCCGTTCTACCAGTTCTCCTCCACGCAGCCCGGGCTTGTGCCCGGCAAAGCGCAGGTGTACCTGTGCAACAGGCCCCTTTGGCTGAAATTTCACCGGCACCAAACGGAGATGATCATCACCAAACAGGGAAGGTAAATGCTACGTCCTCGGCTGCCGCTACTCCTGGGGCGGCCGGGGGCAAGTTGTGACCGCCGCGGCTGCGAGGATTCGGGATCGGGAGCCGAGTGGAAGGCGCGGTGGTGCTCCCTAGAGTTGGCTGGTTTTGGAGAAGGGGAAAGTGGAAGGTAGAACCACCGCGGTGATGTTGGGGGTGGGGGGATCCCTCTCCAGAAAGGTGGTCGGAAAGGCAGTCAGTGGGCAGAGAAAGGCGAAAGCGAGGGAGAGACCGGGCCAGCGGCCGCGAGTGGGGAGGGACGCCGGGGTGCACGACAGGTGGAAATGCGGGTCGCCAGCCTTGCTCTCCACCTGGGCGGCCATACCTGCCGGCTCCCCCACGCCGGCGCACCGGCCGGACCCCCACCCCGGGCTTCGGCCGCGCTTCCGTCCCTTCCCCACCACCCCCTTTCTAACCCCTTTTCTAACCCCGCAAACATTCACTACCGACGCTGAGCGAACAAGTTTTGCTTTGCTATCTGGCGCCGCGCTTCTTGCTTTTAATCTTTAACATTTATGTTTTCCTCCTTGCTTTCTTTCTCTGTCTCCCCCCCCCCTTTAATTTAAATAGGCGCATGTTTCCTTTTTTAAGTTTTAACATTTCTGGTCTCGATCCCACGGCTCATTACAATATTTTTGTGGATGTGATTTTGGCGGATCCCAATCACTGGAGGTTTCAAGGAGGCAAATGGGTTCCTTGCGGCAAAGCGGACACCAATGTGCAAGGCAAGTCCTTCCAATTAACACGTTTCCCTGACACTTACTTAGGTGAGAATGATTAATTAAAGCCTTTGTGGACTGGCTCGGGCGACTTTTAAAACGATCGGCCAATGACTTCTGAAAGGAAATGAGGGGGGACAGGGGGACAGACAGAAGGGGGAGGATTATCCAAAAGCTATTTTAATAGGGTGCCCAGTTAATCGGAAGAAAGGCGGCCTAAAAAGCCCCCGCTAATGGGCCTCTACGTGGGATGGAATAAGGTGTGTGTGTGTGTGTGTGTGTGTGTGTGTGTGTGTGTGTGTCCTACGCATCGAGGAGTTGGGACTGGGCAGTGCCCGGGGCATATGTAAACAACATGTTTCTTTCTCTAGGAAATCGGGTCTATATGCATCCGGATTCCCCCAACACGGGGGCTCACTGGATGCGCCAAGAAATCTCTTTTGGAAAATTAAAACTTACAAACAACAAAGGAGCTTCAAACAACAACGGGCAGGTCAGTGGCTCAAGAGCTATTCTCTCTCTCTCTCTCTCTCTCTCTCTCTCTCTCTCACACACACACACACACACACACACACACACACACGCACTCGCCCCCTCAATATTCAGCTCATTAGTTAAATCAGCATGAAAAACTGGGTACATGTTTCTTTGCTTCATTAAAAAGACTTTTAAAATTATATTTTCACCCTCCAAAATTATATTAAATCATCTATAAAGCTGTTCTCCTCGCCCCCTGCCCAGTTTCCGAGTTCATGACCTAACCAAGTACGAACACACTTGATTGATTTCGAGAAGGAAACCCCCAGGATCTGCAGATTTGAAAATCTTTGTTTTCTCGCTCAAGGAAGAAGGACTAGGAGAAGGGCCCCGAGGCTCGGGCGGTCGGGTGGGTTCTCCTCCTGCGCTGGCGGTCCCTGCTCCCAGAGGAGCGCGGCTGGCCCGCCCCTGCTCCGCGGGTCACCAGCCGGCGAGACCCGAGGCCCTGTAGCCCCGGGGCGGGCCCCTTCGGGCCTCCGCAGCCCCGCGCCCACCGCGTTAACGCGCCGCCCGGCGCTTCCCTTTCTCTCGGCGGGACAGATGGTGGTTCTGCAGTCCTTGCACAAGTACCAGCCCCGCCTGCATGTGGTGGAAGTGAACGAGGACGGCACGGAGGACACCAGCCAGCCCGGCCGCGTGCAGACGTTCACTTTCCCAGAAACGCAGTTCATCGCGGTCACCGCCTACCAGAACACGGACGTAAGGAGTGCGGGCTGGGGGCTGGGCGCGGGGCGGTGGCACCTCTTCCCCGGCACCCGCCAGCCCGGCTGGGCTGGGGCACCAACATTGGCAACAGCTGGCTCTGCTGAGCCTTTTAGACAAGGCGTGGGGGCCTGCTGCGCACCTCCCCTAGATACCTGGCCGGTGGAATTTACGTCTCTGGGTCATGCGGGCCACCTTTGAGGTGCTCAGGAGTTCTAGGGCCCCTTTTCTTTGGAATATTTTATTTAGTTCTCAAACTAGAACAAATTTAAATATGCTTTTTTTTTTTTTTTTTAAAAAAAGCTCTCTTTCCTTTAGAAAACAAGCAGATTTTACCCTGCATTTTATTCTTGGCAATCTGTGGCATTACCTAATATATATATATATATATATATATATATATATATATATATATATATATATATATATATAAAATCTCAGAACTGATGGCTGAATCAAACATCACTTTTGGGGAGCAAAAGAACATACTAATTCATATATGTAAAACTACAATAAATTAAATTACTGTGGGCTATGGAATGAATTTTCTAGCTCTTGACCTCTTGAGCATTTACAAGTTTGCAAAAACCAAAACTGACTTTAAGATACAACTTGTCTGTCTGGTTGTGACTCAGAAGCATCCAACTTTTAAAAATATGGTGAAACGTTTAAAATAGGCAATTTTGGTGATTAATTCAAGTACTCCTTAGAGATTTTTGTCTCAGTAAGTGCATTATGTGTAACAAGCATTTAAAAAAATGTGCATTTGAACCAATTTAGAGCACATAGGAGAGCTAATTGAAAGCAGTGCTTTAGTTTTGGGCATCATTGATTTAAAGATGCTCCTCATAACTTTCATGATAATCCCCCCCCTTTCCACCCATGCCCTCAACTTTTTGATGAAATCATAGGCCTTAAGCCCCTATAAAGAGTGGCAGATGATATATCCTCAAACGCCCAATCCTCCTGTATGGAAGGTGAGATCATATTAATCTTTTTCTTCCTCTTTCCCAGATTACACAACTGAAGATAGACCACAACCCCTTTGCAAAAGGATTTCGGGATAATTATGACACGTAAGTAATTTTGCTCCTTTCTTCTCAAATAGTTGTGGAATTGGGCTTTAGGTCAAAGGTGGATTGTTATGTGCAAGGTTTTTGGAAGCTAGAATGTGTGAAGACAAGGTTGTTTTCCAGGTTTCCCCTCTCCCTTTCTCTCTGGCTTAGTTCTTCAGCAGTTTTGGTCAAAGGTTTCCTCCACCTATTTTTAGCCTCTTTATAAATTACAGAGTTGTAGGGGGGCCTCTGAGACCTGCTGGCTGGCAGGGGAAGCTGCCCTGGTTCCCGGGTGCGGGTGGAGTTGTATGTGGCGCTGCAGATGCTCAGCTCAGACTGTCTGTGTCTGAAACCTCCCGATTCTGTCTGAAAGTGCATGTGGCTCTGGCAGTTGTTACAGCCTCCTTGGCATATGTGACTTTTATTTACCCATCTTCAAGTTTTGTGTAATAGCGTTTCCTGTGTGAGTTTACTATGGACTGAATAAAAATGTGCACCCACCATAGGCAAATTCATGAGCAGAGCCACTCCAAAGTAATTTCAGGCTTTGAGAAGGATCTGGGTGCTGTTGCTGTGTGTTATTTATAAGCTTTGAGAGAAAAATATTTCCTCTTACATGTGTTTTAATGAACAGTGTTGGTTCCCTTTTCTCCAAGCCTCCCTTACCTATCTCCATTTCTTTTCTGCCAACATGCTGTCCTCTGGGGCAACCGCAGGTGTATACAGTGCTCTCTGTGCATGTTCTAGCATTCTTGCTCAGAGACCTGGTATAGTGCCTAAGAGTTCAGATAGTGTTACACAGCAAAATCTATTCTAGATTGTGGGGATTCCCATACCTTTTCCTGACCATAAAAGGGAAGGGTACATACATTTTAATTTCACGGCTTGCATTACGTGCCTGGGATAGAGCTACAAAATTGAAGATGTGTTTGATTAAAAATAGATTAAGTTTATAGAGAAAGAGACAAATGGCTGCTTCTATTCCATCTCCAGGTAGATACCAACCTTCTTTTCTGTTTTTTAAAATAACAAATTGTGCATCCTTCAAAATTAGTTCAAAGGAAGCAAGCTTCACCTATGATTACCCAGAATAAAAACTTGGCTACTCTAGTCCTCCCAGTCTAAAAAGGTGGACCCGGCACAGTGGAAAGTGTGTGGCCCAGGAGACCAGAGATATTGGAGTCTGTACTAGGGGGGTCTTGTAGATTTTGAGCTTTTAATTCTGTTGTGAACATCTGTTCCGAAGCATTTTATTTTGCACAAATCAATTCAGTAATCCCGAATGGGTTGGGACCTGGATGGGCTTCTAAACTGTGTCTTTTGCAGACTGTTTCTCTTTTTCTTTTAAAATATTGCGGTGGTAAACAGAAAAGACATTTGCACCTTGCTGGTTATATTCCTTTTCTGACTCCTTCTACTTCTCTTATTTGAAACGGGATTGAAATTTCAGGAGGGAAGTTTTGTGCAGTGAACAAAATGGACCTGAGCAGCTGCAGAGTAGCCGCACCTGCCCCTCCTCTGGCTGACTTCAGTCAGAAAAACCAGGTCCCTTTGATTGGTAAATCACTATGTGCTTTTCATAAAAGGCTTCTTTACCTATACGAATGGATACTTTAGCTTTTTAGGGGTTCATGACATCTCCCTTTCCACTGTTCTGTCAGTTATTTGGGCATCGCCAACTCCTGGAGAAACAGGGAGAGCAATAAGAGTTTAGGGGGACCAGCGGGATGCTTGGCCACTCACCAGGGAATCTCCTCCCCAAGGGCTTAAGGTCTGACAAAAATGAGGCTCTCTTTCAAAACAGTCTGCTGATTAAATATTAAAACATTTAAGTGTGAGCTAAATAAAAAGAGAGGCATGTGTGTATGTGTCTGAGAAAACACTTCTACCAATCTTGATCCAATCTCTGGTTCCCTCTCAATTCTGATGGGATTTTCTAGGCCCAGGGCCTAGAGTTAGTTTGTGATTATTTTATCTAAGGTGATTCCCAGTAACACAATTACTGTCTGGGCAGTTAGCTATAGGGCAAGTTATTCAACTTCCCCTGGCCTCAGTGTTTTCATCTGTAGAGTGGGGGTAATGATGGCACCTAACTCCAAGGATTATTGTAATAGTTAAGTAAATCACCATTTGTACAGTCCTAGACAACAGTGCCTGGCACATGGTCAAGTTGCATAAGGGTTAGCTATTATTGGTGGGAGATTGCTTGGAGGAAGTGGACAACTGTCCTCTAAGAGTCTTCCCCAAAGTACTTAAAAAACAACAACAAACCAATAAGGGAATCCAAAACTGGGCAGAGAAGGCCAGAGTAAAAAAATACTTTTTCTTTGTAAAAGAAATTTATTGATTGTTGACTTTGTTTCCAAATAGTCATTCTTGTTTGTACCGGTAGAGGTGGGGGCTAAAGGGTCACACAAGACAGTCAGTACTCTGGACGCTTCCAGCAGCCACCCTCGGGTCTCAGGCTGCTGGCGGAGGCCAGATTTTAATGGTTGCTACTGGGACGGCCAGCAGGTGTGTCAATAGGAAGAAAGCGGTTTTAAAAGGGCGGAGGCGTGGGTCTCTTGGTTAGAAATTTGGTTCAGAAACTCTCTCCGCAGAGGAAAGGCCCACTGGGCAGATAACACCTTAGTCCCTGGGGTAACCTGCCATGATGTGTACACGGATTGGAGGTGCGGGATGGGAACCCGCTGCGGCGCTCCCCTCTTGGTCCCCTGTACACTTGGCGAGTGTGAGAGCCGGGGACAAGGAAAGCCTTCCTCTGGATCTGCATCATGTCGGGGCAGATTGCTCCCTTTTTAATTCCACGATTTATTTGGGAGAGCCTACAGGTCTGTGACCTTTTGCCTCCATCCTGGATGGCCAGTTTCAGATGGAGCGTGCGGGGCTGGGCGAAACGTGGCGTCCTTTCCTTCCGTCCCCCGCAGGGACCTCTGCGCCACCCCGGGTTCTCTCTCTCTCCTTCCCTCGCAGGATCTACACGGGCTGCGACATGGACCGCCTGACCCCCTCGCCCAACGACTCCCCGCGCTCGCAGATCGTGCCCGGAGCGCGCTACGCCATGGCCGGCTCCTTCCTGCAGGACCAGTTCGTCAGCAACTACGCCAAGGCCCGCTTCCACCCGGGCGCGGGCGCGGGCCCCGGGCCGGGCACGGACCGCAGCGTGCCGCACACCAACGGGCTGCTGTCGCCCCAGCAGGCCGAGGACCCGGGCGCGCCGTCGCCGCAGCGCTGGTTCGTGACGCCGGCCAACAACCGGCTGGACTTCGCCGCCTCGGCCTACGACACGGCCACGGACTTCGCGGGCAACGCGGCCACGCTGCTGTCGTACGCGGCGGCCGGCGTGAAGGCGCTGCCCCTGCAGGCGGCCGGCTGCACGGGCCGCCCGCTCGGCTACTACGCCGACCCGTCGGGCTGGGGCGCGCGCAGCCCCCCGCAGTACTGCGGCGCCAAGTCGGGCTCGGTGCTGCCCTGCTGGCCCAACAGCGCCGCGGCCGCCGCGCGCATGGCCGGCGCCAACCCCTACCTGGGCGAGGAGGCCGAGGGCCTGGCGGCCGAGCGCTCGCCGCTGCCGCCCGGCGCCGCCGAGGACGCCAAACCCAAGGACCTGTCCGACTCCAGCTGGATCGAGACGCCCTCCTCCATCAAATCCATCGACTCGAGCGACTCGGGGATTTACGAGCAGGCCAAGCGGAGGCGGATCTCGCCCGCCGACACGCCGGCGTCCGAGAGCTCGTCGCCGCTCAAGAGCGAGGTGCTGGCCCAGCGGGACTGCGAGAAGAACTGCGCCAAGGACCTGGGCAGCTACTACGGCTTCTACTCGCACAGCTAGGCCGGCCCTGCCCGCCCGGCCCCGCGCCCCCGGCGGCCCGGGCGCCGCCAGCCCCTCCCGGCTCTGCCCAGCGCCTCCTCCCCGCCCCACCCTGCGCACCCCCTCGTGTCAGTGGACCCGCGATGACCGCCCGCAGCGAAGGTGACTGTAACCTGTGTTGGCACAGCAATCTCTGCAGTTAGCGCACCGACCTTCCACTTTGCTGTAAACCGTTTGGTTTTCCTACTTCCTCTCCTTCTGTGAAGTTATACTCCACACACACTTCTCTCCCATCGCCCCCCCCCCTTGTCTTTTCCTCGCCCCCTCCTTCTAGTTCTTGTCATGCAACTCTTCACCTTTGGGAGACCTGGGGCAGCCTGTCAGGCAGCAGCGATTCCGACCCGTCGGTCTCGGCCTCCCCATGAACCCTAGGATGTTGACTCTAGAACCTGGATCCACCCAGCGCGTCCTTTCTTATCCCCGAATGGATGGATGGATGGTAGGGATGTTAATACTTTTAGTGGAACAAAGCCTGTGAAATGATTGTATATAGTGTTAATTTACTGTAATGAATGGCTAGTTTTTATTCTCATCGTCAAGGCACAAAACCAGTTCCTGCTTAACCTTTTCATTCATTTCTTTGCCTTTTTCTCCACCCACCTCTCCCCCTTTAATTTTTTTTTCCTCGAGAGATAATTAACAATATCCTAAGAGGCTCTGGAAACCTGAAATACTTGATAGATATAATGATGAGTTTCTCACTTCTCCTCAATCCATTGCATGAAATAATTGCTCTGTGCCCTCATGCATACAAGTAGCTACGGAGAACCTGACCAGACACCTGAGAAGGACAGGTGTCTGTTCCTAGGCAAGTCCATTAAGCGGCATGAAGCCTGCAAAGCAAAGCTAACTGGAATTGTATGTTTCCCCCTCCTTCCTTCTAAATAGAATAGCTCAACATAGCAATATTATTTTGCCTTATTTGTTTTTCCCCAAAGTGCCAAATTCATGACTGGTCTGTGCAGGTGCCAAATATGCTGACAAACTGTTTCTGAAAATCTTTTCAGCGCCCCCCCCTCCACCTTTATATGCTGTAAATCTTTGTAATGACGATTCCCCTAATCATATAGATGACTGAATTGTTGGTAACTATAGTGTAGTCTAGTGAAGATGAATTGTGAGTTGTATATTTTACTGCATTTTAGTTTTGAAAATGATTCCCCCACTACCTAGAAACAGCTGCAATTTGACTTTCTTGGGAAAACACTAGCATTAATGCAAGTAAGACTGATTCTCTCCCCTCTAAGTCTTGTTATATTTGATAAGAAACATTTATCTCCCTGGAAATAGATTAGTAGGATTTCTAATGTTGTGTAGCAAGCCTATACTTTTTTTTTTGTATTTTAAAATTAATGTGAAATATGCATCATACACAATATTCAATCTAGATTCCAGTCCACGGGGGGATTTTTCCTAATAGGAATTCAGGGTCTAAACGTGTGTATACTTTGGCTCTCCTGTAAATCCAATGTTGTGATTTTTATATTTGTTTCGTTTTGTCTGTGAACTGAATAATTTATACAAGTACACACTCCATTGAGAAATGTTTTGTTTTTTGCTCGTTTGTATCGTCTGTGTACAACAAGTAAAATAAATCTGGTAAAACACTATGGTGTTTGAAAGCAGTTTACAGTTTGAGAATAATTTAATTATTATAGGCAGTAACTTTTAAGGGTTAAGGAAGAATGACCCGTCCCCACTCCAGTATGGGGCAGTCTGTTTGATGGGAACCACCTCCCATTCCCCTCTTAAGTTTGTTTTATAGCATTGCCAGTGAATCCCTTTTCCTTCTTATTTACAGTTACTTAGCTCCCTGAGTCATTTCACTTGGTTGCACTCATTTTTCCCCCCCCCAGGAAAATGTATTCATTTCATCATATGTCTGATCCCTGAAGTTGGAAATAATTCAAGCAGGAAAACGGAGGGTCTTTAATAAGGAGTTAAAATTTTCTTTAAATTTTACAAAGTAAGGCGTGAGGCTTTGAGTAAGAGTAGGGTGTAATTTAAATGCATGTCAGATTAGGCTGTTGACCACAGCATTAGGCAGAAGTCGAAAATTGTCTTTAAATACGAGGCCTCGGACACCAGTGTCGAACCTGTAAATGCAAACACAGAATGAATGGCCTACATTTCTTTAATGGATGGTTTGGGGGTTGGGAGGTGTTTGGCGGGGTTGGAGAGGGGTGACCAACTTGAGAAAGGTCAGTTTTTTTAACCACGGAACCTAAAACTTGATTTGGGACGTATTTGGGAGCAGTGCTCCATCCTTTCTCCAGTGGAATCCATGCCTAAGCCAGATCCCCATCCCTGGAGAACAAATGCAGAAATGTGGATATTCCAGCTGGGGGAGAGGGTCGCTGCGTCTTAGTCTAGGGGTCCGCACAGCTCTGCCTTTACCTCGTGGAGAAGCGGTTTTTGTATTTGCCTCCAGAGGAAGGAGATCCAGAAAAGAGGTGGAAAATGGCTCAACATTCTTGCTTAGTCTGGGCCAGTTCCAGGTTACAGGACTACATTTAGCTTCACCTAGAGATCGTCCTGTCTCACTTTCACTATTTGTCATGCAAAGAAGGCTTCAAAGTTCCAGTGGAAATGAAAATTAGAGTGGGAGCGAAACCGATTTGCCTTCCCTGGACAGTTTCGCCACTAGACGGCGTTCCGCGGAGTGCTGTCTGCTATCTAGAAACGCGACTACTGATTTTCCTTTGTGCTTTTCTCCCTTCCCACACCTAAGAACCAAACAGGAGGGCGGAAAGTATAAAGCGTGGCTAGTGGGTGACCACAGGCAGTGTATTCTTGTGATCCCCCCACTGGGGCTGCGCTCCTGCGACCTCGGGCCCAGGGAGCCCAGGGAGCGCACGTGCGGTGGGGAGGGCGCCTGGGCCCAGGCCTGAGCGCGAGGGGCGCGTGGGAGCCGCAGCGCGGCCTGGCCCGCCGCCCCCGGTCCACAGGCACCGCGAGCAAAGGAGTCGGTGTCCTGTGCGCAAGGGAAGCTCTTAGGAGCCGAGCCTAGATTTCACAGGCACGTAGTGGCTTGTCCTTGAAGGACGCACTTGAGCTGCTATTAGGAAGCACTTGAAAAGTGAGGGAGGTCGTTTCCCTATCAGCTCTGCCACCATCTGCTGTGGGGACTGAGTCGGCACGAGGTAAATTTGCAGCCCGCGCTCCTCTCGGAGGCAGTGTGCTTGCTGGTCCCTTTCAAGCATGGTCATGTCTTTCTCTCCGCTCCCAAGAAGCCTGGGGTGACTGGTGAAGCGACACTGTCCATGCGTCTGCGAGGCTGCTGCCGTGCCCACGCGGTCGGAGTTTGGATTCGGGAGGCCGCGGGGGATCAGTGCGCGCCCGGGTTAGATTTCGGGTCGCCTTTCCATCTCCGGGAGGGTAGGGGTCAGAGCGAGGGCGGAGAGGGATGGCGATTCCTCCCCGCTATCTGCAGAGTTTCCCAGTTTTCCAAAAGCAGCGTATTTTCAAAAATGAGGAAAGCAAAAGAAAGGGACGTGCGGCTAGCACTCCATTCTGGCTCAGCCTTCCCGCTACTCCCAGTCCGCGCCATCTTAACTCACTCCCAGCCGCCCGCTGGAGGCCGAGCGCGCAGGGGAGGTGCGGCCCCCGCCGAGGGTGCTGCCCTAACCCGGTTCTTAACCTGCGAGCGGCCGCCGCGGCCGTTGTACACCGGGGGCGGAAGCCGAGCGCCCGGCGGTCTGGGCTGCGGCCCGCGCGGCAGGTCGTTCCTGTTCCCGCGGGCGAGGCCGCTGCGTGGCCCAGCCCAGCGCCGTCGGGGCGCACTGGGTGCCAGGTGGGCGGGCAAGGGCGTCTGCAGGCGATCGGCCGTTCCCAACCGCCGAGCCAGGGCCATGGCCGTCCGGCTTCGCGTTGCGCGCGCGGGCGGCTGCGCTTGGCTGTTCGGGCCCATTCGTCCAGCCGCGAGTCCAGGTTAGGGGTCTGGACAGGGAATTCGGGCCGGGGCCCCGGCGGCCGGTCTAGACCTCGAGCCCAGGCCCAGGCCCTGGTCCGGGTCCGGAGTCCCGGCCGCTCTAGGCCCGCGGAGCCTGGGGGAGCCCGGGGGAGCCCGGGGGAGCAGGCCCTCGGCCTTGGGTCTGGCCCGAGGGCGCGCCCTTCTCGCAGGGAGGCGCGCCGAGCAGTGGACTAGGGTTGCGGGCGGGAAAGCCGCCTCGGCCTAGCAGATATGTGCCCGACTGTTTGTTTCAAAATTCTACTTGTTTCCGCCTCCTTAGCACCGACTTACAGCACCCGAGCGCTTACAATGCAGTCATTTAGGACCTAGAGAGAACTTTCTGAACCCGTCACCTCCTGCAGTTACATGTACTTATAAATCCCACTGCGAAAACGCTCCGTGATGCACCCTCTTTTGTGATGATAAGTATTTCTCTTTTTGGCACCGAAGCTTTCAAGGATGTTCTGCTTTCTGTTTGGGGGCAGGCCAGGAGCAAAGGCCTTGTTGAATACAGGCCATTTATCTTCACAGGAGAATGAAAAATATCTCTGGCGACATTTGGGCAACGTGTGTGTGGTCGAGGGTGACTTCTAAAATGCCCAGCCTGTCCTGGGGGCAGCATCTTTCTTGTGTATATCAGCATATCGTGGAGGTATGTTAGCCATGGGGATAGGAAAAAGCACACACAGAGTTATGATCCTCTGGTGTGGAAACAAACCAGTCTAGATCCCCCCAGAGGAAACAGCAACAATGATTATTTTCAGACAAACTTACTTATGAAGAAGTTAGCAACTTTAAATACTAGTGATACACATTCAGTTTTCACAATATTTAATTTACTCTGATACTAGGTGGGCAATTGCTTTATGTATTTTACTATTCGAAAGAGTGAATTTTTGATTCTTAATAAATTTGCTTGGAAAAAAAAGAAAGTACATTTTTGGTCTAACATCAGTAAAATCAATCTTTTAAAAGTTAGGGGAGACTTTTAAAGCACATTAAGTGTATATGATTTGTTGAAGTTACAATCTGAGGGCAATGTTTACTTTTGGGCAGTCAGATCTCCTTTTGCCAGAACATCAAGGTAAAATAAGAATCAGGGAAGACAGGGACAAACTGGGCAAGTTTTAAGGCATTATATTGGGTTTAATTCGGTGGCTTTGAGATTTGTGTATCTTCCTGGTTCCTGTCTCCAGGTTGTAAGTCAGGCTGCAACGTATTTAAAAATATATTCACTTGAAAGAAAACCCCACTGCTTTCACAATAAAGTAAACTTGATGGTGTCTAAGACTCAGGTCTCATCTGAGCTGATTATATCCGCCTTGCATGTATTTTACACCCACAGTATGGTTTGCGGTGGTGTTCAAGGCATGGCGTGAAAAATTTGATTTGAATAGTTCCATTAACGCAATGGAAAAATAAAACCATGGCTTAATAGGCTTTCTAGTGATAGCCCCCCCTCTTACTATGCTAACTCTGAAATAAATATGTAATCTAGTATTAGGAACATGGCATTTAGAAGACCCTTGCTGGTAATATTTAATTTAATAAACACACTAACTGTGACATTCTTAATGCAGTGAAGCTTGTACCACAAGCTGATTCTTTCAGGTAGTTTGACCTATTGCTTATCACTAGATTCCTTACAAACATATCCTGTGCTTTATAACTTGAATTTTATATTAAAATTATTTTGGCTTTCAACTCTGCATGACATGGCACTCCCTTTATATACAAAGCATTTACATTTAGGTATCTTGGCACACTTTTTATGAAGAGGAAAAGGGAATTTAAGAGAAGAGAGCGTCCCTAGGGATAGGCCTCTGGTCATTTTAGCCAATGTAGTTATTTTGTTCCAATACTAGTAGGAAAAAGGAAGAATAGAACTTAACTTTAAATTTGGGGGCAAGGGTTATATGTATTTAGTATATATGTTTATGTATATATAAAATATGTTTATATATAACATATATACATATTATACTAAGTTTTTATATATATATTTTAATATGTTTTTATTGATTTCAGAGAGGGAGAGAGAGATGGAAACATCAATGATGAGAGAGAATCATTGATCGGTGGCCTCCTGTATGCCTCCTGCTGGGATCGAGCCGCAACTCTGGGCATGTGCCTTGACAGGGAATGGAACCATGATCTCCTGGTTCGAAGGTCAACGCTCAGAGTTTTAAGGAGTGGCAAGTTAATTGAACTTTCTAATTGAACAAAATAAATACTGCTTCTGTTAGGTTTCATGCTCATATTAAGTTTATTTAGCTTTTTGGCTTGGTACATATCTTCATGTTAGCAGAAGTGTCCTGTATGGGAAAAAGCCTTTTCATTATAACCTTATTTCAGGTTCCTAGAAACAGAAAAAAGTCAACAATGTTCTCAAACCACAGGATCTTCCTTGCTCACATTTCAACTTTTCCAAGATGTATTTGTCTTTTTTTTTTTTTTTTTTTTTTTTTTTTAAATATATTTTATTGATTTTTTACAGAGAGGAAGGGAGAGAGATAGAGAGTTAGAAACATCGATGAGAGAGAATCATCGATCAGCTGCCTCCTGCACATCTCCTACTGGGGATATGCCCGCAACCCAGGTACATGCCCTTGACCGGAATCGAACCTGGGACCCCTCAGTCCGCAGGCCGACGCTCTA